TGCATGTAAAAATCAAATTGTCCCTCTCCAAAAATGATGCCTTTGCTCAAAGGACAACAACACAAGTCAGTGTAAACTATGGGCTATTTCCTGTCCTTTTTGTGGACAGCAGGTCATGCTGGGCTTTGCTTGCAGTCACAGCTAAATATCCTGGGGACTGTCGGGGGTGAAGGAAAGAAGTTTTGCCAGTGATGCTGCCAGCAGTCAGGAGGGCGTCTTCTTGCCCAAACTGTGGGGTCACGAGCATTTAACAAGAATTTAATGTTTAACAAGAATTTATTGTTTAACAAGAATTGTGGTAAAGCATTTCTCTGACTTGGACTGTTACACTGATGTTTATTTTTGCTTTGTGTCTACCAAGAAAAAAATTGTAGCCAGGGTCCTCCTACCAGACTGCAGGTGTGGAGGCAGTGACAGAGCAAAAGATACAACTACTGCAGGTGGTTGGTATAAACTCGTGGTACCTCAGGTACCACTGTCCAGGGCTACACCTTATTTACCTGTGTTTTCTTTCCTGGCTGGTAATCAGTTAACTGCTGTTTGCTGACTGTAAAGGAGAACCTGAGGGCAGACATGCACCTTCCAAGGCTTTTGCCAATCACAGTGGACACGGTGTTTGTTTGATGCTGCTAAGTGCATTTTTTTCCATAGAGTGAGTGCTCACAGGATGGGTATAAAGCAGCAGTTTGCCCCTGTGCTGTTCAGAGCTCCTGTGCTGTTCAGGTTGCTGTGTTGTGCTCACCACAATTTTATTCAAATGAACCTTGCCAAGGCATCTGTCCCACTGCTCCACACACAGACAGGTAAAGACTCACATGGTTCAGGGATGGGCAGGGGTGGCTGCCATGAGTCAGGAAGCTCCCTGGCCTTGTGGGCTCACAGATATGGCTGTACAAGTGCCAGACTGGTGCTGGCTTCCCCCTGCTCAGTGTGCAGGACCTCAGAAACCTGCAAAAAAAATGTCCTCAGCAATGCCCAATCCTTACAATTTCCACTCCAGCTTCTCATTTGCTCCATGTACTAGTTGGAAAGAGATTTGTGTGTAACCCTTGTCAAGGTTTGAAGTGAAGGTCTCCTGAGATGAGTCCTTCTTGCTGGAGGTATTGGAAGTGCCTCTGACCTGGCATCCAGATGGTCTTGCTTTCTGCCAAGTGAATTTCAGAGCTTCTGATATTTCTCCTTTCTTTTCCACACCACTTGCTTGGTCTTTCTGACTTAACAGTTTACCCACTCATACTTTTTTTGCCAAGGCAGCATTTGGTGCCTGATCCCGTCCAGTAACAGCTCTTACCAGTGAGAAGCCAGTTATTTTCTCTCCTTGTGCTCCAGCTTTCCTGACCACTCCTCAATGAATCACTTTGGCATTTAAACTCTCAACTGCCTCTGCTCCAAGTCTTTCACATCAGACCATTTCTCCTCCACTGCTTTGTGTCATTTAAACTGTGCCAAAACTTTTGCAATAACCCTCACAAGAACATTCCTGCTGTCCAGAACACGCGTTTTTGACTTCCAGGTTTTAAGTAATTTCGGATTGAGTAGTAGTACCATTAAAAAAACCCAAAACAAACAAACAAAAAACCAAACAAAAACCCCTAGAACAATGCTGCTTGAAAATATTGCTTTGTACACTATCCTTGTCAGCAGCATGTATGTCATTAGACCCAAGTTTCTTATCCTAGCCTCCCTTTATTTTAAAAACTCTAATCTTGTCCACATGCTTTTAAAATAACAATTATTATCCTATTAATAAGATGGTATTTCAAGGCTATACGTATCACATGTTTAGAGCAGCTTTTTTTTTTTGCCTAGCGTCAGGGAAGAAGAAACTTCTTAAGAATCCCCATTTTAATTTTCAAAAAGACGTGATAAAATTCCTGTAATCCCAGCTTTCATTTCCAGCACGAAGCAGGAGCCGGATGACACACCCAATCCAACGTGCAGGCAGAGGGCAGACAGCCCAGGTAGCCACCCAGTCCCTCCTCCAGGATAAGGGTTGCCTTTGAAAGCCTCCATTGTTCTCACTGCAGCATCCCACGTGTTGTGACTGCAATGCAAAGCAACGCAAAGGTAACCACAGCACAGCAGCTATGCTGCCAAGCAACATTTTTATTACAAAGGGGAAGTTTGACGAAGAAAAAGCCTGTTTCCTCTTCATACTATTTCTTCAGTTTTAGTTAACAGCTTTTTTATTTTTTCTTTCCCTACAAAATCTGTTTCAATCTCAGTCATAGATCTTGCATTCCAAATCCAAGGTTCTTCGGCCTTAAAAAGTTTGTGAGGGCTTTCAACTCATACACATGCCTGATATCCAGAATTTTGAGTTAAAACTCAAGTGTGCTCACGTATCCTGAGGCACAGTGTGCGTTCCAGGCAAAGTTCAACAGTGATACTACAACATTACTGATTTATTTAGTTGTTATTCCAAGCCAAATACAGCTATTCTGGCTGGGGCCCATTATCTTATGACCTTCACAGGCTTCAGAAAGTTTATGAACTTTTTGAAAGACTTCACCTTTCTTGGCAGCAGCTAAAAAAGTCCCCTCTCACTCTTTACTATTTTCTGTGTTTGCCCAGTGGCTCAGACTTGGATATTTCAATTTTTGGTGAAAGCACAGTAAGACATATTTCTGAGGCTCAAACAATTAAATTTCTCTAGAACTGAGCAAGACCTCAAATCTCTTACTTATGTGACAGGAGGTCCCAGATGTCAAAGTCTAACCAACACAGAAGTGGTGTCCTTCTGAACCTCAGACATCAAGAGCAGACTGGAGACTTTTGAGGCCATCACCTTTCAAGGTGAGTGGTGGCACTTTGACTCATGGTCCTATAGCTGATTACAGCATAGAGATGGCAAAAGGCAGGCGTAGGCAAGGGAGGGCCTTGTGCAATTTCAGAGGGAATATGTGGTGAGGGTGGAATAAAGAGCCTGGAGATGAGCACTGTATTTGCAACTGGTGTTGTCCCTGTTCCCTTTCGTGGCCATGGTGCTGCCTGCTCTTTGACCAAGGGCATGGGCAGGTTCAGAAGCTCCTGATGCCTTGGGGGTGGTTTGCAGTATTGGCTCTAAACTGTAGCTGCTAAGGACATGCCTGCTTCCTCTTCTTTATATCTGTGGATATTTAGGCTGGTCTGATGACTTAAGAATAATATGATAGAAATAAGGGAATGGGAGCTTAGGTTGAGTAACTGAAAAATTGTTAAACAAAGATTAAGTTCCTAACCTTAAATTATTTAAAGTCACATTCGATGCAGCTGAAGAAAAGATAAAAGCAAACTCTAATTTCTGATCCTGAGCTTACAATACCTTAATGTGTATATTACAATGTACTTAGCTCTGAACATGTGAAATAAGATAAAATTTGTTTATTCCCCCTTCATATGCAAACCTATTAAAATATCCAAAGGATGACTGCAGAGAATGGTTAAAGCCTGATCTGTATATACTGTCTGCACTAAAGCCCTTTTTATTTTGGTATATTTGAGCAAAATTCCCTGCTGGGTTTTCAGTGGGCAGATGCTGTGCAACATCTAAAACAATATGCCAGGTGTAACTCACCTGGTTGTACAACACCCTGTTCTTCAGGACTTGTCCTGGATGTACTGGTGATGTTGAGCTCAAATATGCATTTCCTCCAGTTGATTTCTGCCTCTGTTTCCAGACCTCTGTATCATATCAGATGATGCCTTAAGGTCGTGTTATCTTCCCTGTGGGATGGGTCTGCACTATGAGTCAGGAATGCAAACTGAGATGATAATCAGTAGCAATCAAAGCAAAAGAATGGAAGAGCAGCTGCTGGAGTTGAAACATCAGTCTCAACACCATGCATGGCTTGTGCACGATTCACTGTGCGACTGTGCTCATCAGGCCATCTCATGAACCACCCCCCCAAAGAGAGCTGTGAAGTGATACTGTTGGGTTTTTTATTCCCGAAACCTAAAGATGGGGAAAGGTTAATGCTTCTGGCAGTGCTTCTGGAACCTAAGGGCTAACCCTGATAAAAAGCAAACAGGCAGCCTGCCTACCATCAGCTTTAATGGACTGCCTTCTGAGGATAAGCTGCCAGGCTTAAACAGTGGCCAGTGAAGGAGTTGAGGTTCTTGTATTGTGGCTTATGATGGTGCCAGTTCATCTCACCTGCAGTTTCCTATGGGCCCAGAAGGGAAGACTGAACCTTTCTTACTAGATAGCATGTTCCTACTCAAAAGGAAGACCTCACAAGAAGAGCCAAGTAACCTAAACCCTGTGTTCGTGTATAATATAATGCAATATTTTACACAGTTTAATTCTATTTAGGAAGGGAGAGAGAAGAAAATATTTAGGAGCAGTGACAGGAGGAAAAAAGGCAGGAGGATGAAATGAGGAAGGGAATGACTTATTCTCTGACACTGAATTAATGTCTATATTCTCTAGTATCTACTGCAAAATTATCCATACTATCTAAGAATTTCTGCTAAAACAATTCAGTGAAAGATGGTTGTACTGGGTTGTGGTTAAGACACGAGTCAAGAGGACCTGGGGTCTGTTCTTTGTTCAGCCAAAGACACTTTGGGCACTGCTCAGTACGTTTAAATTCAAGGTTTCTCAGGAAAAGAGCAAGCAGTGAATCTTCTATTTCCCAAGTCCAAGACTATGGTGAGAAAGCTTCTAATTATTTTCGAGATCTTCAGGGACCCATTTTACTGGCAAATACCAATTAAAAAAGAGGTGAAAACAGAAGATGCTGTGTGGTTTGATATGTCAGCAGCACTGTAACATGTCTTGTAAGTAAAAACAAATTATTTGCAGGAGCACTCTGATGCCAACAGGAGCATTACACAGCTTGCCTTCAGTAACACTGCCCTGCTGTAGAAAATAAGTCTCCATACACAGATTTAATTTAAAATTTGCCCTTTTAAAGGAAGGGCTAAGGCTTGAAAATACATTTGCTGCATCCCAGCAAGTATGTTCACTAATAACAAAAAAATCAAAGACAGATTTTTTGCATTAGAGAGAGCACTTTATTATTTCTCTGACTAACATGTTTTGTTTTCTTTGGAGACCTGCTGAAACATTTTTGATTGCATACAAGCAGGAGATCAGTTGTAATAAGGCGTGTCTCTGTTTCTCATGTTGTTGCCAGGTCTGAGATACTTTGTGACTTTATAACTTGCTTTGATTTTAAAGGGACACTATCATAGAATCAGAGAATCATTTAGGTTGAAAAAGACCTTTAAAATCACGGAGTCAATAGAAACAACACAAAAAGTTTGCATCCCCTTCATAAGGACATCTTATTGGGAGATAGTCATACTAAACAGTGTATTTTAAAGTACCTGGCATTGTTTGGTTTTTTTAAATACCTTGTGAGTTTCACAGAACTAAACCAGTGCTAGAGGATTTCTAAAAGCAGCTTTCCTGATTTTTAGACTGCAATTCTTCATTCCCATGCTACTCTGTATTCAGGTTTACTCTTTGTATATTAATTTTGCCTACCACTTCTTTTTGGGCAGCAAAAGTAGACTTGTCCAGGTTTCCTGGTGTTTATTCAGTTGTGGCACATGCAGTGTTACTTGGGTTAACAAGTTAGAAGAAAAAGTTAGATTTTAATTGTCTGTTTTCTATCATATTTTAAAAAGTTATAAAAACAATTTCCTCAACATGAGGTGCTGTAAGTTCCCTTCCCCTGTGTTGTTTTTGGACCTGTAGTATTTTGAACATGACCTCTTAAAAAAAAAAAAAAAACCAATAGTATTTTTAAAACCTCCTTCTGGAATGCATTTGATTTGAGTTATTCAAAGCAAATGTGGAGGACTAACAGACCTATGAAAATGATCTGTGATGGGAAAGCAGGGTTGTTTGCTTACCTCCCCAGGGCACATTCTGTTCTGTGCGCACGTGTGGGACTTTCTGGGAATCCTCTGAGAACTATGTGCATCTACCAGCAGAATTTAGCTCCCTGATATCCAGAAATATGTTTGGACACAATGCAATGTCACAGTCTATTGTCTTAGTTTCTGGTAGGAGCTGGACCTTTAGCCAGGAGTGTTGAAATGTGCATCAAAGGAATGCACATCTCCTTCTGGATAGGAACGGCTGTAATAGCTCCTGTGCCAGCAGGTCAGAATGAGGGCACAGGATGGGCTCTGTTCGAGCAGCAAGGCTTAAAAGTACATATGACAAAAAAGTACATATGACAAAATCTTCATTGCCATAAAGGTAGCTCACCTCCCCTGATTTCAGAAGAGGAATGCCAGATCATGTCAGCTGATAACCCAATCCCCATCCTTTTATATATTTATATATTAATTTCCTATTGGTTTAATGGACAATTTAACTACTGGTTGGTTGTTGTTTTGTTTTGTTTGTTTTTAATTTGACTTACTGAAAGTGCAGATGAGGGTTTTTTAGTGCTTCTTTACCCTCTCTGAGCATCATATCATGGTAACAGCCTTTATTTAGGTGCTTAGGATTTTTTTTTTCCTCCTGTTGCCTATTCCCACATGTGCAGACATGGTCCTAAAGTTATCACATTGCACGTAATTGCTGTAGGGAGGATGATTATTTCATGTAAGAGAATATGAAGCAGGATCAGCATTCCTTAAGCAGCACAGAGCCTAACCTCTTGTGTGTGTCTATTACTTCAAAAACAAAGGCAAGATTCCACTCCCTTTACTATATATAATCAAAAGAATTATTTTGAAATTGCAATTTTCTTAAAATAATCACTGAATCACCCACAAATAACTTCCCCACCAACTAGTAAAAAATGATGTGTCTAAATTCAGCCTCAAGTTTCTGAAACATAGTGTCTTAGACCTAGTGGTTCTAGTTAAAACCCCTTCTGGACACAAATTGCAACAGGCAGGTGAGGGAGGATGAGAGAAGTGAGAGATGATAAAATCTATGTAAAATCAGTTTTGTTGCTGATGAAATCTCAAAGGAAAGGGGCTTAAGAACCAGTGAGCTCATGAATACCAGCAGTACAAAAATAATAATTTTAACTTCATTGGTGCCAGGTAGTGAAACAGCTTCTTGTGCATACTCATGGAGTCTGCAGATTCTTATTTAGCTTGTGGGAAAAAAAAAAAAGAGGGTGAAAGACTACTAAGTCCTGAGCAGTGCACTTGATGCTTATCCACTGTAGAAAACTATTTGTATAAAACAGTCTGAAAAGAAATTTGCTGCCAATCAGCATTTCAAACTTCTCTGCATAGATCAAAGGCAGTCATCTGCAGCTCTGACTAGTGGTAAACCTGGATGAAACTTCACCTCAGACATCCTGAAGAATCCATCTTTGGTTATTCTTATATTGATATATACAGTGACAACAAGGTGATTAGGACTAAAAACTCCAAAAAATCACTCAAGTCTTTATATAAAATCGCAATTTCTTTTTTTTCTGAGATACTTCGTGGTTCACAATGGCAACACCAACCATGTGAAGGCAGTTACGTTAACTGATGTCTGATCTCGTTTGTCTTCAGTGGTGTTATGTTCTGATTCAATCTCTTAGTGAGTTATAGGCTTTTGTGGTCCGGGTGTTGATGAAATCCGCCTTCTTAAAGTCAGCCTTTGGAACGAAAGAAACAGAATTATCCATTATCTTCTGTGCTGATTCTGCAAGGTAGGGGTGGGTTGAGCTGTCTAAAAGCTAGATAGGGAGCCATGGTAGGGGTCTAGGCAGAGTCCTCTACAGTCATAGAGACAGTCACACCTCCATTTAGCCTAAGACAGGTGAGATGAATAATTGGAGTTGCTTAACTCTCTCCACTGACTGTACCAGGAGTTTGTTCTTCTAGCTCAGCAATACAGACTCCTGGCTCTTAGGTGACTAATGCCAGCTGAGATTAATCTTATCGGAACAAACAGTACAGGCTGATGCCAAAATGACTCAGGGCTTTATCCACCTCATTTGATCAATTAATTTCTGTTGCTCATCAGCCTGACTTTTCAAAAATGTCTAGGCATTAGGTGGTCTGCAGTTTTCAGTGCCATACTCAGTGTCTCTAAGGGAGCTGATTTGTACAGGAACAACAAGTAATCAGATTTTTTTTGAAACTCACATCTTACATATGTGTCTTACAGGCATACCTAAATTACCAGTGACTTCAGAAAATTCATACCATATTGCTGTACAATAAAGTCAGGAATGTAGTTGTAAAAAACCAGGGACGACAAAATCTCGTTAAGAATTTATATGGGTACAGTACCCTCATTCTTGAGCACTGATTTCTGGCTTGTGGGGAAGTATACTGCTGAGTGTGATGCAACACCATGAAAGCACACTATGCTAAATAACTTTCTTAGAGCAAATTTCAACAAAAAATCTACAAAAAGAAACAGCCAACTAATAAATGCTGAAGGCTACCTTGAGAACATGGGATAGTTTTAGGTTATAGGGAATTTTGGGTGACAATTTTGAACAGCAAACAAACCAGGATTGAAAACAGTTTGAAATGCAGGGTGAAGGTAGGTAGGTTGAATTCAACTCAGCTGTGCACTGAAAAAGCAGTCACAGAGCTTCAGCAAAAAAAAAAAAAAAAAAAAAAAAAAAAAAAAAGAAACAAACCGGTTTGTTGTCTGACTCATGCTGGTCATTTCTTGTTTGATTTTGATTATGGCAGTAAATATTTGCCAACACCTTTTCCAGGCCCTAGCTTTTTACCTACATGTGGGCTACCAGATCATGCAAATAAGGAGAATAAAACTGCTCTGGTTTCAAAGCAGGAAGCTGCCTCGCCCTGCATTTATTTTTGCTGGCACTTTACACCCTCTGTGCCAGGTTGGTTCAGTCAGTGGTGGATGGTCATCTACTATGCATCACTTCTCACCATCTGACACTTCTGACAGGCAGCAGCAACAGTTTTCATAAACTTTGGCAGTGGATTTAAAACCACAGGGGGAGGGAACATGAACACAGATGAGCAAAAATTAAGGCCATGCATTACTAAGGCAGTATAAGCAATAGGAAAACCAAATTCAGAGACCACTTGAAATCCTACTGATTCTTATATGTGCAGAATTGCTAAGGACCCCAGAGGACAAATTAAAGAGTTCTAGGTCTGAAAGGACAGATTCTGTGTTCTGTGTCTTTGTTCTAACCCAGATCTTACCTTTTTGTAAGCGTTGTGGAGATCAGTATGTGACCACAGGGAGTAGAGGAGGACTGAAGCAGCCCTGCTAGCTTTGCTGAACATGTTACTGCAATTTTGCAAAGAGAATGAGAAAACATAGTTAAATTTCCAAGTCATAATCACAGTGCATGTATAGACTTCAGCAAATGTAACCTTGCAGCATTTGTCCTGTCTCTCTTTGCTCCTAAATGCTGCTTTGCTATTCTTTAGGTATAGTAGCATGTTTCATGCTGTCCTGATTACTGAAAAAAATGAAACATGCCTCCGTGCATCACTCATTCTTCAAAATTAGGGTGAAACCAAGTACTTTGTAGGCTACATCTTAGAGCAGCTATCACACTATTAATTTTCAGTTGAGGAAAATACACTCAGCATTTGAAAGAATCTTTCCAGTAGGTAAAAATCTCTGGTTAGTTAGACAGGATTTAAACTACTTGGAGCCTCATGAGGCCTCCTTTACTGAGATGCATTTCCTCTTTCATTTTGTAAGAAGAGAGGAGAGGAAGGCAAGCAGCATCATTATTCGTATTCTTAAAGCATTAATTATCTTTTGAGTAAATATTGATTGCATGTGATTACATATTAAAGAATGATTAAATTTTGAATCTATTCTATAAAATGCTACTTTATGAATTATTTTTAAGTACAGGTCTATCAGTTTTATAAAATGTATCCCTGCACTTCACTGCTAAAGATTATCAGGACTGTGTTACAAATAACAGGAAAGACAGAAACTTCTGGGGTACAGACACGTTCTGATGGTCAGTCACTACGTGTATCAGAATATAGATAATGTTGTGCAGTTATCTTCTGAGGAGTTACTTAACATTCTGGAACACAGTGAATTTAGCTGAGGATGGAACAGTTGTAAGAGATTTTTCTGTATTTCCCAATATGTGCAATTCTATTCACATTGCTTGTTTAAGCTGCCCTGTACCTTGAGACAAAGTGTTTTTTTCTCCCCAGGTGGCAGAGAGGTTGCAGGTTTTGTTTTTTTTTTTTGCCCAGGACAAAAAAGGAAGAAGGTAAGACTTCTCATCCACCTTACCTGTCATTCATGCTGATGGCAATAATCTTTGGCAGGCCGTCAGCACTCAGGAGAAGCCGTGCATTGTGCGAGCTGCTCTGCGTCAGGTTGTACAAGGTGTAGCAGATGGACGCTGTGGTTTCACAGGCAACGTCAGACCCTGGGACAGACTCGGGAAGTACCGCGACCAAATCAGGCAAAACTTCTCTGGCTGCAAGTGGGAAGAGAGACAAGCGATTCCATTACCAACAGGTGCAGGTTTATGCAGGGGTCCTACCTTGTTCCTCCCATTCTCACCTAGCAGGGTGCTCCCACATCGTTCTGTACCTGCACTGCATCCCTGCAACTGAGGTTAAGCTGCATCCACACTGAATCAGACAGTTTGCAGTTTGCCTCATACACAATACATTACTGCCTCATGTGCTGTAGTGAGGTCACTAGGCATGTGCCAGCAGCAGGCTGCCACTTCCCAGGGAAACCTCTGTGTCCTAGAGGTAATCATGGGTATAGTGATACACACCAAACTGAGAAAAGGTGACTGCAGCACAGCTTTCTGAACCAGTGTGTAAACTGCTTATTTAAGAATAACATCATATTCTGAAGTCCATCCCTACTCAAGAAACACCTCATCACTTTGACCAGCCTGTTCATTTCTCCAGATGGGTGACAAGGTTCAAGCAATTATGTCAGACATGATAGTCCATCTTTTTCTCCATCAGTAAATCAAGAAAGGCAATTTTCAGAAAGCTTCATGAATTTATACACATATCTAGAAAACAGCATGCCTTTCCCAATGTGCTCTGAACAAAGTTTTTTAGGAATCTGACCTGAATTCACACATGCTTTCAAGTCAATCACAAAGAATACCTTTTCATGGACAAAAGGTTTGCCTGAAATTCCCCCAGTTCTTTCTACTATGGGTGAAGTAAGAAAATGACTGTGAATGTGCAAGATGAAGCATCTGTCTCCAAAGCTTTGTGCTATTCTATCTTTCCCACACTCTTTCATAAATTATTTTTTCTGATGAAATCCCAGCTTCTCGTCAGTTTAATTTCTATTCTGTCCAGGGGATTCACCACTTGTAATTTTTAACACCATATGGATTATCGCTTTGAAATCACCTCAACAACATGTTATAATATTTTCATTAACAGGGAATGTTCTCTAAGGATTAAACAGTGCCCAGGGGACTGTTCTGCAGAATTCTGGAGGTTAATCTGCCCCATCAACCATTCGTATGCCTGTAATTTCCCCTTTTCCTTTTGGTGGGAACACAGAAAAGAACAAGTTATGTGAATTCATTTTATCCTATCAGTAGGAAAAAATTTCAAATACACATTAAATCGAAATGAGAATATTCAGAATAGAAACAGCTTCTATTTAGAAATAAGATCCTTTAAAATTATTTTTTCTATAGCATCTTCTAGCTTCCATTCTCAAAAACATTTTGCAGGAAAACTGTGTGAGCTGCAAGCTTCCAAAGTTTTGTGTCTAATAGAAGGAAATGTGACCTTTGCTAGAAGAATTAGAGATGGTCTGTGATTTCTAGCAAAGCATTACATAGCTATGGCAGCACAGAAGCTGGCATTCACCTTCCTTTACCCTATTTTAAGCAGAAGAAAAACTCCCTCTCCAAATCTGCATAGATTTCACTTCCATTATGTATTTTTGAAGATAGCACCTATGGAAGTATTTGAAGAGGAATACACAATACAGTGAAAACTTGAGGTGAAAGTCCTCCTTAGGCAAAACTCTTTATTTTAAACCCTGTAAAATGGCTGCAAGTATCTGGTGCAGAGATCTACTCAACTCACACGGATCAGGTTTTTTTGGAGCATTTCTTTTTTCTCCTAAAGAAGGAAACTTGAAGGTAAAGAGAGCAGAGAGCGCCCAAGAGACAAAGCCAGTCTTTGCTCACCTATATCATTTTGCAGAGAGGTGTTGCGAGACAAGTTCCTGAGCAGTGACACTGCTGTCTTCTTTACTGCAGGGTGACTTACATGCAGCATAGTTCGGATGCTTGGAAGGCCATTTGCCTTTTGAACAACAGTCCGGGCCACCGAGAACGGCATCTGTGAAAGGGCACGTGGCAACACTGTGTCATCACCAGGAATGTACAGCCTCAGAAACCCTCCCCAGCAGGTTCTCTGCATCAATTTAAGCACGTTTAAAATAGTTTCAATTTAGAGCTGCGTATGAGCCGCGATGGAAAAGGAAGGTGCTATAAAAGAAGTTTTGAGCCCTCTTTCTCCCATGTGCTCTTTGGCTAGTTCCTCAAGCAGAGTCATTAGCTTCCTCACCACAAAAGTGATCTGCTGTTGTTGCAGAGCCTTCCTCTCCACACGGGACTATGTTCCACAAAATGACATTTTTGATGCTTTTAACATCTGCTCATCCCTCCCACTGTGTAACGAATTAGCAAATTCCACACATGGAGACGTGCACAGAGTGAGAAGAAGCAGGGCCTGTGTTTGCCAAGCAAGAAAACACTACAAAGTTGGTTGTGACTTTCCCTTCAATGTTCTTCAATTTCCTTGATGATGTCAGTGAGCCAGTGACTTGTCAGTGGTTATTTGAGCTCAGTGCAGTGGGGCTCAGGGCCTGTCACACTGCAGCCCTGAACTCTATGCATTCACATTAATAACTAAATGATCAGAAAAAAGAAAAAAATGCTGACTTACTGGTCCAGTGCCAGCTGTGAGGTTCTGAAGAGCTCCCAGGGATGCTTCCTGGGTGTAGTTTCTGGTGCTCTTCGCTATTAAGGAGAGATATATCCTAATCAGTGTAGAATGCCAGAGTGATTCAACACCTTTGGGATTGCTCTTTTCCTCAGGTAGGGAGTGTCCTGGTGCTTCTAAACATGTAAACAGATAAAGCCTTTAGAAACAGAGACTTATATGACTTAATGCATCACAAGCTAAACTAGTCATTTTGTAACTCTCTATGATGAGATTATTTGCAGATTGCCAAGTTGTGAACTCAAATAATAATGTGTAAAATTTCAATATTGAATGATACTGGACACTCAATCCAAAAAAAAAGGAGATAGGTATGGGGGAAGTTGTTTCTCATCTCTCAGCAACTGGTGTTAGGGGCTGAGATCAAGGAGAAACAGAAATGGACAGCTACTTGTACTATAGATGGAAGGCACAATACACTCCAGCAAAACCCACGGATGGAGAAGGGTTATCAATCTTTTTTATTTTGCTTTTGCCATCCCCTAGTACTGTTTTCCCTCCAGCTATTCCCAGTTGTCAGAATATTAGTGATCTGTACTACATGGTATTGAAAAGAAGAGGTCCTGAGATAGCCCAAAACCCAGCAAGTCGTGGCAGTGGCAAATCATTCTGAGCTGGTTTCACTGGTGAAAAAACCATCACAACACGCACCCATTGGTAGGGCACTTGCACAACTGCTGTACATGGCACAGATACCACTTGGATCCATCAGAGGGGATGAAACCGAGTGGCAGTATTCCTCAGCTAAGGAAACAGTGCTTTTTATATGCCAGTGTCACCAGCAGCAGCTGAAAGAGATAATTGGTGTCAAGTAGGACTATTAATAAATCTGCATTTTTGTGGCAAGTAAGTGCCATGGTATTGGACACAACAATAACAGACTGTCAGGTAGATTACAGTCTTATTCTCCAGAGGTTACTGCAACTGATTAACCAAATGAGACGTAACTAAACATGCACTTTACCTCTTTTACTTTCCTGCTCCGTGTTCCAAAACAGCCTGGTGTTTTATCGTTGCTAGAATTATTTCTTCTTTGTACATATATGCTCTGGGCATAGCTCTCAGGGAGCTCTATCTCTAGCTGGTAGGAAAGATTGTGAAGAATGCACACACAGTTTTCTGTGGCCTAAAATAACAAAAGAATAGAAATTGAAAGATTTGGCATGCAAGGAAGAGACATGTATAGACATGGGAAAAGCTTTCATTTTTGGATCTTCAACAACTAACAGCAGAGCTTCTAATGCCTTATGGAAGAGCTGGGCTTCATGCCAGTGATGCACAAGACTGCATTTACACTGATAAATTAAACATGCCCTGGGATGTTCCTGAGCACTGAGGCCAGCTGGCACACAGGGCTTGCATTCAGAGTGGAGTGCTTGCCTGCTGGAAATGGTCCTGGGACATTATAATTCCTGAATTGTGCCTGGGAAGTGTTTGGGCGAGTGCTATTTGACACAGACCAGAAGTGTGCCAAAAAATGTTTAAGAGCTTAAGAGTAAAGATGATCATGTACAAACCTTGCTGTAGCATCAGCAAAGCTTTGTATCTTTCCTACGGATGAAGTTTTTTTCCTGTGGTAGAATGCTTTTTTAAATAAGATGTTCCTTTCGGAACACGGCTAAGGTCAGGTCTACAATTTCTGCATGACGAGCCTATGGCAAATGGCTTTATTACCAGCTCCTCCTTTTTAGAAAGTAAAAAAGGAATGAGAGGTTTTAAGACAGACTGCAACAAGGAGCTATTGGCACAAGTGTAATGTGCTGGATTCTCCCTGAAGCTAATGGCACCGAATACAAGGAGATGCTCAAGCAACTAATCCTAGAATAGAGCTGTAAAAGTGCAGTAATTACCACTACATGGCACAAGTTACAGCAGGCACGCTAGAAGTGCCTTGCAGGCTGCAGATAACTCTGTCATAAGTGGAGGCTGGTCTTCTCACCCAGCTAAAAGACAAGCATCTAGTCTAAGCTGCGTTCAGGGTTCATCTGCAGTCAATGGTGGGAGGAAGAGAACAAGATAAACTGGCATCTGGAGGTGTCCGTGTCCTTGTAGTTACTGGCTTAGGTGGCAAGTATAACTTCTAAAAAACACTTAGGAAAATTAATTCCATTCTAAATGATGCAAGCTCCTTAATTACACTGACACCCAAAGGGATTTAGGTTCTTCATTTCCTAAGGGGTATACAGCATTAAATATACAGGTGAGTAACCAGATTAATTTTTTAAGCTTCTAGCGAGCTAGCTCCCTGAGGCAACTGAAAAGGTAACATCTGACTCTTTTGTGTCTTAGTATCTCTGACAGCTGTGACTTTATCTCACTTTTTTAAAGAAGACAGAAGTTTCTACCTTTCTCTCTGGTGATTCTGAGAATGCTTTCCCAGTGCTAAGGTACTATTCTTTTAGATAGCAGGATAAAAATACTTCAAAAAGCTTCTTCCTGGACTTTCACATTTGGTGGCAATTTTAAAAGCCCTGGAAACAGTTACATCACAACACTTTCTGAACACTGGTTTCTAAACAACAACAAACATTCACTTAGCAATTTCCCCCAGGAAAACACTTTTCATCTCAAAGAGTACCTTGTCATTCGGCTCATGGTCTGCAATAGCTCCTTGGATATAATACACAAGAGAATCAATCAAGCCATCACATTCTCTCATCTTTTTCCTTCCTTCTGGGCCAGCAGAGCTCATGTTTCTGTGCAGGAAGGAATAGGTTGGTGAGAAGAGATTTAGTCAAAGATATTTTTCTGTGCTACTCTGACAAGCTTTTCCAGCTAAATCTTAAAAACACTGAAGTTAAGGTTGACTGCTTCCTTTCTTCAGGGCTGTAGGACAATCTGAGCCTCCTCTAAGCAAAACTTTCACTTCAGCACACTCCCAGAAAAAAGCAAATACACCAGGAAAACAAACCATTGTGTTTGGATGCATAAGGTACGATCTGACTCCAATTTTCATGTCAAAGTTGAGTTAAATATTTTTAAACAAACCCGAACAGAAAAACCTGGGCTTTTTTTCATTATTCTATTTTCAGTTATATTTTTAATATTTAGGACGGTGCCTATGCCAAAATAACAGAGGAAAGATAGCTGTAAAAACTTCCATGCACACACAAAAAATGTCCTTTAGTAGTTTACCTACACCAAAACAGTTCTTGATCCAAGATAACCCATCAACAGGCACTTGTTCTGAGAGTTTTAGTAACATCTCTACATTAACATGAAGAAAACCGATGTCACTTACAGGGTCACGCTCACATGGCAGTTCAGGTGCTTGTGGAAATGCTCCAGAGGAAAATGCCATCAAGTAGGAGGGGGTTTGAATGCAGCCAGACTGGTAGGCTGGAGCAGCAGCCTGGCCCCACTGCTGGGCAAGAGGCTGCAGGGATGAATGGTGAGGAGGCTGCCAGAGCAGCAGTGAGAGCCGGGGAAAGGAGAAAAATGTCCTGCACTCAGCTGATTCCCAGCTTTCCAGAGAAGCTGCTGGCATCTAAGCAGGTAAAAGAAGGCAGAAGCCACAGAAGCTGCTCAGTCCGAGAGGGAAATGCCAGATGCTTTCTGCAGATGCCTCGTGCTGTTCAACCGCAGTGCCTCAGACACCTCTCTGCAGGCTTTCTGCTTCCTCCACACCCAAAAGAAGGCACTGTTTGCCAGGCTCTCAAGTAACATTTTCTGTGCTTTGGAGTAACCCAAGTGCAACTTGAAAATGAATTACAGAAGTCGTGGAAAACCAAACACACCCTTGCTGCTTGAAGCTAGGCTCTAAATAAGATACCGATTTCCAGGGAAGTAACAACACTTAAAATTTTGTTGTGTAATTACTTTTACAACTCAACAAGGTCTGAGTTATGGAATGCTGGAGTTATAAACCCAGACCTCATTATTCTGGACTCCTGCAGCTCCGCTGGCCAAAAGACTGCACATTCCAGCTTCTTTGTTTGAAATAACATTAAATATAACCCAACCTTAGCATCAAAACCGGAGAGGGACATGTTTCTTTAGATACTTTCAGGTTGCTTATTTTGCATGCTTACTTTACCCACTAGAAATCACAGTGTTTATAATTTTGTTAATGACAAAGCTAGTAAGGTACAGCTTTAAACTTTCCCATGGCTTATGACTGTAAAATGAATGTACCATCTTATATATTGTAATTTCACTTCTACTGTTTTTTTCACCCTGGAAAGCACATGCTCAGACTAAATACTAGTGCACTGTAACTATAATTTTGCTTTAGGTCATAATGTTAACAATACCTCTATCTATGAGTTCTCTATTCTCTCATGAAATTATGTATCACAGAATCAGTATTCAGATTCCTCAATATGGCCTACTATAGGCATCACATTGGAATTTAATTTTACTGATATATGTCACATTTGAGGCATGTCACGCTTTCATATGTTTATGGTTATGCTGGCAGAAATGTACATGTTATAGCCCTTCTAGCACATAGCAAAAATAGTTCCTGAGGCACGTAGACTAAAAATACTGTTAGAGATAAGTGTGGAATTTCCCTTGCCAAAGACACTTCAGCTGATGCAGTATTTAGTTTTGTCCCAGTACATCATTCTGAAACCCCTGAACTTTTTACAACTGGTCATGCTGAATGCTTGTGCAAGGAGAGGCTTTGCCCTGGACTTGCTGTTTTAGCATGAATATAGTGAGGCAAACAGCTTTTATAGCTCAGGAGGCAGAGAAGAGCCTGAATTGAGGGCACTGTCCTGTTCTGCAAAGGAAATTAATCACCAGACTCTGTTTCATTAAGAAGTTGATGCTCAGCTGTTCATCCAGCAATAGATATCAGTGCATGTCTATACACACATGGCCACCCCATTCTCCACCCTTCCCCGTTTCCTTATCACCACAACATGGGCTGGGAAGGGAAGAGTTTCTGCTCTCCCACTCACCCAAACACAGCTGTAACCACCTTACTCTAAACAGGGTCAGAGAAGAGCATTTCAGGCAAAACCTCAGTTGTACAGCTTCAGTTTGTTTGCTAATTGAAGCTGGGGAAATTCCAGGAAATAAAAATGTTATTAGATTGGGAAGAAAAAAGAAGTTTCTGAGAAGTGTCACAGAAATGTAAATGAAAAAATATTTTTTTTAAAACAGTGGCGACATTTTGCTTAGAAAATTTCAAAATTGACTTCATCTTGGCTTCCCAGGATTTGAGGTTCCTGACAACTGGAATGGCTCCTTCTGAGCTCAGGAGCTGGACTTTATTGTAGTGGAGTTCCTGGAGGCCCTGAAATACTCAGTGCTTGGGCAATTGCCGTGGTTGGGCTGGCCCAGCATTGTGACTCATGGCAACTGCTGTGGGGAGACTTCAGGGCTACCTGGAAATCTTCAAGTCTGCTGTGCAAGTTTGTTTTATTTGCATTTCATCAAAAGTGCTCTGATATAAATAGATCCATGAAACAAGGATCAGCTGGAGTAAAAACCAAGAGCCTTCTCATAGAGAAGCTCTTCTGCTGCCCAATTTCTGATATTTCAACCCTCCGTTGGCCTTGAAGGGTTGGGAGAGTGCAGCCTTAGGGAGACTGGTGCTTGCAGGGCTGGTCTCTTTAAATGACTCAGAACTCACATTTTGGCATCACCTAAATATTAAAAATCTCTGACTTCTGGCATGCTCAAATGTGGTAATCCTGGTGACATGCTCAAACTATACCACATGCTAATGTGGATGCATTTCATCTATCTATGTGCCTCATTTATCTCATCTTACATTTGCTTCTTCTGTTCTCTCTTGCACTCATGCATGGTGCAACTATGTTTGTAATCAAAATAGCTGTTTGCCCATGTTCTCATGGCATTTGGGGAGGATCAGCCAATTCCCTACTGGGAAATATTATTTTGATCCACAGATGCGAGGTAAATGCAAAGAAATGTGACATAGTAAAATCAAGCATGACTTTGAAAGAAACAGAATGATGGCATTATAATGTTCAATTAGCTTGCAAATGGCACCGAATGAAAGGGATACTCCCTTTAAGCCAACACTGAGTCATCCACGGACTGTTGGAAAAGGTTTTTGAACTGCTGTGAATGATCCGCATAACTGATAAGAGGAGGGATTTTGCTCCTGGGACTCATTCAATTACCAGACAACAATTTCCTGAAGTAGTTTGGGAAATTCTATTCCCTGCATGCCTTACACAGTTCAGAACTTCATCAAGGAGGGAAAGGTATTTAGGATCTACTTAGTAACCAGAGGCGCCAAGCTGCAAGATGCTTGCTGGAAATAACAAAATTCCTTTCAGGAATTGGGGGAGCAGATAAACTGAAGAGGAGGCAAGAGAAGATAAGAATGGATGGAAATAAACTTCAAGGAGTAGCAATGCTACGCAAGAGGCCTTGGTTCAAAGGCTTGTTATCATCAGGCATTTGTTTTAGGTTCTCTCTTAGAAGCTTCCATTACAAGTTTGAGCTGCCATCACACTTTTCAACACACAGTGAGAGCTTTGGCTTCACTTCTCTCTGGGGCAAAGGGAAGAAGATTTTTATGCAGCCTCCTGGTTTGAAGTGCAATGATCCCACTTCCTTCAAATACAGCTTTACACTGTCCTGTGGGTCACTGTGTAATTCAAAAAAGAAAGCTAAAACAAGAGCTGGGATAGACAAAGTGTCAAAAATAATAATGAGAAAGGAAGCATTACTTTTATTTAACTGGCTGGGGAACCAGTAACAGAGAGCATAGCTGACTCTTCTGGAGATAGTTGTCTATAAAGTTTTGAAAAACTAGAATACAAAGGGGCATTGGATGCTTCAGTTCCAGAGCAATTAAACAGGAAGGCTCTGCAATGAAGTACAGCAGTTGTGACCCTGAGCTCCAACACTTAAATGAAATGTTTTGCAGGAGGAAGTGTGATGACTAAACATAAATCTGGGGAAGTTCAGCACTGCAGAACTTTCAGGAACAGGTATTTCAAGATAAAAATGGAACAAGATCATTTATTAGCTTTCAAGGTGTAATACAACCAGCCTTCTACTAAGCCTTCCTTTTAATCAGAGGAAGAGTCATGCCAGAGATTCACTTATGCATATAAATAATATTTAACACCATACACTCTGCATGCTCTTGGTATCTTATCCCTTCAGACACAGAGAAGGAATATGGGGAAGTATCTTGAAGATTTTTACCCATTTGTATCAGAACTGGAGACAGAACTTTTACGTGTAGGACTTTCAGGCCAAGAAAAAGTGACTTTACCTTTACAATCCAACAGAACTTATCTGCAAATGCCTGTAATACTCCTGGAGATAGCGTAATACACCAGTTTTACTTGTTCAGCTTATTGTCAGGCAACCAGCGATGCCTGTTGATTTGGTTGACTATGCCTGTTCAGGGCTCAGTGCTTTTTATCACATTTCACTACTGAACAATACTATTTCTGATTCTAGCTGCTAGTGCAGAATTCTGTGGCGTACACAGCTTCTTTTTTGCTGTGTTAAGTTTTGTGACCTGTGATTTCTGTAAAGCTTTGCTTCTGACATGGTTTTAAGACAAAACACAGACCTAGAGAACGGGATTAACATATCCTTCGAACGTCAGACTTCCTTATCAGTGACTGCAAACACTGACACAGGCAGCCAAGATTCAGGACTCCACAATATGTCTGGCAATAACTTGTTAGCAGGACAGGGATTGGTCTGCTCATTCACTCATTCCAGTGTCTGAAAGTACCTGCAATATTATCTGCTAGAGTGGATTTCCTCCTCCTGAACTTTTGCCAAGGAGGAGGAAGAGAGCTTTGATTTATGAGTTAGTAACTGTGTGGCACAGTGCACACGCCCACGCCAGATGCCAGTGTTAGATTTGGACTGTGGGTGTCCCTTTCAGTCAATAGGAGTATGTAAATTTTTGAAAATAAGTTCTGGCATTCTCCTATAGCTAAGTACTGCACTATGCATAATGTATTGCACTTCAAAGTACTATTTTTACCCTGCAATAGAAGCTGCAGGCTATAGACTTTATCAGCATGCACAACAAACATGTTAGTATTACAAAAGGGAGGACTAATTACAGATTTATATTCTGGCAAATAAATATACTCTTTAAACATCTTCATTAGCAACATCATTCCCTCAGTGCACAGTTTTACTACTTTGTGGTATACTCTTTTTTTAGTTTTCAGCATTTATTCATGCAGAGATTAATTTTTAATTAATACATAAGGAAGGAATACTTCCAGTGACCTAATCTGGGAGGGGCATCCATTTCCAATAAAGAGATGCAAACTGATTAATCTTAAAAATCTCAGCTATCTGGCCTGTACAAATAGGATAAGCCTCATTAAAAACTATTCTGTGCCAGAAACTAATTCTGTGCTGCAATCCTGCAGATCACCTTCACCTGGGAATTTTCGAGCCCTTCTTGTTTTAATTATAATTTTCAGTGTTGAAGCTCTTAAAAATGAGGACTAGAATATGGACATCATATCTATAGGATGAGTAATGCATCCTTGAGCACTTAGATAAGGGCAGTTTAAGAGGCTTTTCATTAAGGCTGCAGACCTCACTGCAGCTCTGGAGCAGCCCCAAGCACTGACTTTTCTGTACAGAGTAAGGCAAGTCAAAAATTTACAAGACCTCACATAACAACTTGTATCAAGCTGCTGAAACAATCTCAGATAAAGTAATACCAAGCTAAACCTGAGAAGGATCCTTTTTCTGCATCGGTTCGCTTATAGGGAAGAGACAGTTCCAGAATCCAAATGCAAGAGAGGAGCAGCTAGACTGTTTCTGTGTAAATGCATCCTGGGCTAAGCAATATGAAGAAAGACAATCTCTTCATTTCCTAAACATCACCAGTGTTAGCTAGAGACATTTTATTATGGGTGGTTAACGTTTCTTTTTATTTGCTTTTGAGCCATCATAGTAAATAAAAGTTAATTATTACTTAGAGATGATCTTTAATTAGTAGTTAGTGGGCTGACAGGAGTTCCTACAGGAAAAGGTGCCTTATTGTTGAGTATTTTGTATAGCTAACGATTCATTTGTCTTCTGAAACCACATGAGTCAGGCACACAGCTGTTTACACAGTAAAAATTAATGCCATATATACAACTACCATGCTATAGGACATGTTAGCATAGCAGGAATGTGTGAGGCAAAACTGGGCAGCTTCCCAAGCCTCTAAATTTTGAACTTAATTTCTTTTATAGTACTAGAAGGTGTGTAAAACTCAGGCCACGACTTTGCACTTGCACTTTACTCCTCTAAGGAGCTCACTGTCCTTTCATGCATTTTGGAATGTGTAAACAGAAGACATGCATCTCTGATACTCATGAGTGTACTTATTTAACGAGCAATGACTTTGAACTCACAAACACAAAAGGCCCCAGTTCTATAGCCTGTTATTTTTAAAGGAGTTTTTCTTGAAGATGTGATTTTTATCCTTCAGCCATTTAGGGGTGTGTTCACTGAGGCCTTTGGTGTTTCTTTGTACTATCTAGCTACTGTGTTCAGCAGCCTAGTAGCTGACTGCAGTAGCAAATACACAGCTATAAATCTATTAATCCACTCCATGGCTACAACTTGCTTGAACTTGTGCTAAAGGTTGCACAGGGCTTACTATGGTTTAACAAATGGCTTTTCCCTAATTTAAGTTAAATAACTTTCTAGTCAGTTTAAGTATAGATTAGGACATGTCAAAGTAAGCATCTTTGGCAGCAGCTGAAAACTGAAGGCTTTTATGTGCTTCTAGGTACCATGTCTCTTTTCCAAGTCATCTGTTTAGATGAGAAGGGATTATGGCTTGAGAGCAACTCTGTGCATTTTAACCAAAGGGCCCCTGGAGATGCTACTGAATGTAACTATTAGTCATGGTTTATATGCAGAGTAGAAAAAAAGACTGACTTGGCCGTTGCTGAGCACGTTCTGCTCACTACTCAAAGGACTGCTCCCGAGCCTGGTAGCACTTAGCAGGTATTGCAGCAGGTGAGCAGAATATACTCAGCAGAAATGTAAAAAAATTGGTTCCACAAAAAGAGTGGTCCCATTAATACCCAATATTGCTGTAGATAAGGATAACTTTCTCAGTCTCGAAAGGATATTTCAGATACACAAGCACTTCAGTTGTCCTACCAAAGATCTATGACACCAGAACTAATAATTCAAATATGTTAGTCTTTTGTTAGTCCAAATGGCACTTACAGGGGTATACAACAGTAAAGTGCATAAAAATTGAAAACAAGAAAGAAAATAAATGTGCAGGCCTGTTTTATCATCACTATTGCCTTGGTTAGCTGTAGATTGAGTGCTCACCTCAAGCATCCCGTGGCATTGTAGAAGATATCAGGGTCAGGTAAAACACTTGACTTTGGGTAATCTCGATCTGGCCAGCCTGAGTAAGGGATGAGAACAGCTTCGGTCAGCGTCTGCAGGGCTTCTCTAACCAACAGGTGCTTCAGCTGGTCATTAGAGGACAAATTCCACAACAAACCTGTAATATCCAAAATAAAATCAGAGTGGCAAAAGGACTCCCCTGCAGTTTGAAAGACTTAATCTCAAAGTCCTTGAAGTGAAAGAGTGAAGAAGCCTGCCTGACACTTGATATCCTGAGGAGGAATAGAAGGGGTTGTTAAGTGTTCACTAGCCCTGATCTGAGGACAGGGAAATGAGACAAAAAAGAGGGCACAGTTATGCATGTGATTAAAGTAAAATTTCTGCATAGTCAGTCTGATGCCCAACCATGAAGTGCAGTTTCCCATGGCTCCACATTGCTTATCTGCAGCAATCATCTTCTCCATTACCAAAGTAGCACAAGCTAAGCAGAGATAACAACACCACCATCAGTGATCATCCTCCACAGTTCCAGGGAGGAATCTGTCCATTCTGGATGCCTGGCAGAACTAGTTGCACTTAAAAGTACAAAGATCAGTGAGTGGGAGAATAAACTCATATACTGAAGGGATTGTGATGGGAAGTACAGAGATGAAGTTCACAGGTTGCTGGAAATCTGCTGGAAGACAGGAAATGCCCATTACCAAGTTTCTCTAACACTTGATAGCAAAATTTCTCATAAGAGGGCAAACTGCTAAACACTGGTTGGCCATTACTGTCCAGACATTAGTCACTAAGCAAATCATTAAGTAATGCTACAAAGCTTGTCTATTCACAATCTCCAAAACAAATCTTCAATATAATCTTACATAACTTACTAGGTTTGCTTATGCTCTATTCCAACAGATGACAGTTCTTTCTGAAGTACTCTTCCCCCGGAAAACAACACATACTTCTGCTTTTCACTACAAAGACATTCATTGTTTCCCCAGCCCGCTGCTCTAAGTTTCACAGACCTCCTCCTCCACACACTGGCAGAGTATTAGTGAATGTTTCTTTCATCAATTCACAACAAAAAATGCTTCTTTTATATCTCCTTACACTTTGAATTTAATTTCAGGTATTGTGAGAAATAATAAAATCAAAACAAAAGCCAGCCAAAAGCAGCCCATTCCTTCTTTTGGGATCAGCTCTTCAATCTCTGAATTAGAAGATAAAAGGAAGAATGTATTTTCCTGAAGGAAAAAAAGGCTTATAGGAAATCAGAGAAGCAGTCCTAAGAGCATTGGTAAGGGAAACAGGTTAAGACAGAATGGCACAAATGCAAGGAAGGGCACAAGGACAGAATATAATTTAAAGAAGAATGAATTAACTTTTAATAACAGATTGATACTTAGAGTTGTCAGAACAGAATTTGAGATGTTGCTTACACTGTAAATTTTCCAACAAAAATCCTACCTTTACCCACAGGCACTGTATCACTGGGCTGAGAAGGATTCTCTCAGTGGCATTCTGGGTGTGGATGAATTTGTTCACATTAGAAAATGTCTTTAGGAGTGGATTCTTTCCTTGCACCTATGCTATAATGTACTCATAGGAGCACAGTTTTCCCTTAGATGGTTATTTGGAAAAATGGGTGGGGTCTGCTTTTAAATTTATATTTCTTTTAATGACAGTCCTGTTTATGCTGTAATCTTCCCTGCAGGAGAAATTTCCTTTCATTTCTTGTATTTATGCTTCATGATAACAAGATCAAGAGGTTAGCTACTCCCTGGAGGCTCTTCTGGCTTACCTTCAAAAGCTAATATTTTTTGGTTTTTGTTTTTTTTTCCCAAGCCACAGCCATTTGACTTTCTGTTCCTCAGTATGCTCTCCAAATACTATAAAATTCAATTCCTCTTAGCTCTTGTGTTGTCGCCAAATGACATCCTCTCCTACTACTTAAGAATAACCTCATTCCTTTCCTAAGAGATTTCTAAGCAGCTTGGTATGTCAAAGAAAGGACAAAGCCTATGTTTCCTTTCCTTTGACTTGTATCAATGATTTCATGAAGCTAGACAGTTCACTCAGATCTTGAGGAGGACTCGTTCTCCCTATGAAGGGGTCATATAAGCACAGAAATTGCAGAGAAACCAGGCCTTAGGTAAACTGGTCCACAGCAGCTTTCAAACCACTTTCATAAGCACAAAGCCACCTTGGTTGGGGTTGGGGCTTGGTGCTCTCTGTGTGTTCTCCTGGGACGCACAGAGCGTGAGGCAGCACACAGCACTTGCTGTAATCAGCATTTATCTCCATGCACTTTGATTGCTTTCAGTCTTTCCATAGGACAACTCAAGGCACGCTGCATGACTGTGCTCAGTCTGTATTCCTCAGGTCTAGAAGGAAATACAGGCCATCAAAGTATTATTCTTTAGAACATTTGATGTAATATGGCTTAAAGTTAGGCAAGTGCTTGTCTGTATTAACACTGCTGGTACTAATAAGCCAGTGATCTTAAAAATAAGCTTTTAAGGCTGATATTTACTTGTCTCATGTAATTTTCTGAGAGGTAATGAAGTACAGTATGGGAAAACAACTGTATCTCAGAGTTTTAACTTCCTTCTCTCCAACAACATCCTTATCTTCACATACTTCTGCCAGGTGGAGGGCTTTGGTACCATGCTTCCTACACAGCAGCAGAAACAAAAAGCTTCCCTCTGCTGAGCTTAGACATCTTTATTAATGGGTATTGCATGCTTTCCATCCTTGGACAGGAGTCTTTCACCACAGCTCAGTGAGGGATTATCAGGTACCAAGCTGATTTTACTCATCTTTTATAGGGAAAGACATTCAGTTAAATATCGTATCACACATTTGGAAGTCCCTAATTTACAGTCAAAGTAGGCAAGTAATATGTATGATGTGGAAAGAGAAATGGACTTCTCACGCTGACTGGGTGGAAGGCCAAATTTTCCACATTAATCTTTTCCTGGAAGGGTTACAACACTGCAGAGAGATTGCATGCTTAGCTGTGATATTCCACGAGTCCTGCAGGAAGCCAAAGGCAAAGCAAGAGGAGAAACAAAACTTGTAGGTGAGCCATGGTCAGACAGGGAAACTGTTGTTCAGCAGAATTTAACCATTTGGTTAGAAAGGACAGTCAAAGGTTTGCATTATCCTTGGAAAAGCCTTGTGTTGCAGCCCATTTCAGGCTATGCAGTCAATCTGACAGGACAGGAATTCCAGTGATCCCTAGATATCACTGTACATGCCACGATCATCTGGAAGAAATGATCTAAGTTAGAACACGTGTAACAGTGACTGTCTATCTCCTGTCTGCAGCTCACTCCTTGCCTGTCTGGGAAAGAAAATGGCCAGAAGAAAAGCTAATATTCTCACAGAAATTCATTCATCCAGACTGCCCTTTGCCCTGTAGGCTCCTTGCAGCTTATTAAGGAGATGAAGAATTGTTCAAGTGTTGGCAAAAAGTATGCCCTAGTGCCATTTTCACAGAGGCACTCAGTGTATTTCCTCCTGACTGCACATTTGGTCTTCAACAAAGCAAGAAATGCTTCTCTCTTGGTGTATTTTTTAAGCCATCCTTGGCAACAGATAGGTATGAAAGCATATCACAATATTTTGCTTTACACAAGCTACATCATCTTGCTTGATACTGCTTAAATATTTTGTTGGTGTCTTCTTTGTTTTGTAAGTAAATACTCATGTTCAACGACAGGAGTAATTGCAGAACGAATTGCCTTCATCCAATTCCACACTGAAGGGGAAGACAGTAACATTCACAGTATCCATGTGAACTATCCTGCACAGTCAACAGTTTTGTCAGAAATTATGAAACTACTAGCAAGGAAAGAGCATTGGCTTTCTGGCCACTGTACCACCATCTTCACTGCTTACCTCACTGATCTGTAACAGCACAGAGAGATAACACACTATACAGCAAGTTACTAAGTGACCCTGATTCTGCAACTGATGACTGTGAAAACCTTTAAAACATTTTAATGTTGCAGAGCTGTAGAACTGAGCCAAAAGAACCAACAATACAATGCTTTGTTCTCCAGCTTAGGGAGCAGAGTATTTAAAATACTTAAAAGAATGCAGAATTACAGAAGGTCTTGACATGTCCTTGCTTCAAGGCAGGGCTGCTTGACACCTTCTGTATCTTTTCAAGCACTGTTCTCTTAATAGCTTTTGTTCCTGGTATCTTTAAAGTTCACTTGAAATAAAACCCCATTCATTTATTCATAATGTTTTCCATTTATAAGAGATAGCCTGCTCTTCCTTTGCATGCTAACGAGAACGAATGTGGGTCATGAGCAGTTGAATTCCAGCAGACACACTCTGGTCACACAGGACTGCAGGGATGAGGTGGTGGGCACTTCTTAAAGGGCTGCTGCAAAGCCAACAAGGCAGCAACCATAGGTTTCTTTTTGAGTAATGCTGGAGACTCTTCCTCCCACCATCCCTTCTGCTACACTGAAGAACAACAAGAGGTGTAATATGGGGTTTCTGATCCAAAGGGCTTTTCCTTCAAATTTGCAATTGGCCCTACTAATTAACAGTTCTTCCTCAAGGTTACTGGAAATAAAAGCATGAGAACACTAGCCCTGTAAAAACAGAATCCAGAATGTCAGTCACTCCACTGATGGTGCTGAGTGATCTTTGCAGTCAAATGGCTGCCCAGGAGGGATTCTCTCTCTTGTACACAAAAAAGAAACATGCTGTGGCTGTGGCAGAGCTTTCTGCTTGTCACAGATCCAAGAAGACAGGCTCGTGTGTAAACCACTGGGAGTGGGAGAGCTCAGAGCAGAAATCTGGGGCAGTAGAGTTTGTGGGGAATACAACAACCACTTTCTATCCAAGGCACCTGACAGTTCTGGGTGGCTGTCTTCAGCAAGGAACTCCTGGCTAAGTGCTGTCAGCACAGAGTCAAATAACAAAGGCTGAACTGCTGTGTAAATAGCAGCAGCATTAATTACAGTCCCAGGCTCCTTAAGGGAGCCTCACTTTCTTTTCTGGAATATCTAGGACTTTAAGCTTCCTGCAAACAGACTCATATAATTTCTGAAGGAGCTTCAAGAGGGGAAGTTGCAGTTCCTAATCTCTTCTTACTGACTGAAAGACTGGTCTTGAGTAAGGACCTTGGAATTTTACCCTAAGCAAATTGCCTAGAATAGGTGACAATGTTCTTGTATTTAGTCACTAAACATGGGCCTAAGTAAACAATCCTGTACCTCTCCTGGAAAGCTTGTGCATTAACTTAAAGCACTTCGTGTTTGACTGCACAGAAAACACTACCTGTGATTTGCTTCTTAGTCTCTACATCCCTGGTGTGTCGGAGTAGGCGGAGCAAGAGTGGGATCCCTTTCTGCTCTGACACTTCCAGTTTGTTGTCATTGTCCTCAAACACCAAGTTTCTCAGAGCACCACATGCTGCCCGCTGAATGTCCTCATTCTGAACCTCAAGGAGCTGTAAAAGTCTGGGGATACCACCAAGTGAGAAAACCTGTGAGGGAAACAAAACACAGTAGAGAATAATCAGATGCAGTAAAACCCAAACTTCACTCTCCCCCTGCCCCAGCAAATATTTAAATAGTCATAGGGACTTCTTTCATTTGCTCCTATTTGAAAGACTAAGCACAAATCTTTAATCATTTGCACATGACTGCTAACTTCTGGGCTTTCATATGACTAATAGTTAAAATTAACTAACGGAGGCATCACATTTTGATAATGTAAGAGAATGAAACCAAATCTCTTCCAGCTTTGTTGCAGATCTGTACTCTCTGACAAGACATTTAATCACTCTGTATTTTAGCTTCCATGTTGCTGAAATGGGTATTTGAGATTTAATTCTGAACATTTATACAATTTATAAACAATTTTGAGATTACTATATGTAAAATGTTCCTGAGTGCCAAATCTGGGGTTTTTCTTTTCAGCAGCAAGCCTGATGGAAAGACAGTATTTTTTTCTTTATTATCTACTGTGCATTTATCAAGTAAGTGACAGTGTATCAAATAAGAACACATTATACTTAGTACTTCTTATCTGTGGCATACTGAGAAACAACAGTAAACTTAAACATTGTAAGCTAGCTATCTACTGAACCACCCTCATTTAACAAAGACTACTTTTCAGTGTCTAATTCTTTAGAAAATGAGGTTTTGATCACAAATGAAGACTTCAGAAGATCTTACTGTACAGCAGCTGTATGGAAAAATTAGTTTCCAAGTTCTACATGTTGTGGCAAATGAGGAATCCCATCTGAGCTGTGATGTGACATAAGCAAGCCTTGGCTCGTTTAAGAACGATTTTACTATGAAAAGTACCTTACATTCAAGTACAACTGAGAAAGGTTTCCTCCAGCATCTCAAAATGCCATATGGTTTTGAGGACAAACTCATCCTTGTGTATAATCAACAGCACGTGAAAGACTAAGAAATCTGATACAACTGTTTTGAGCAGTCCAGAGTTTAAGGATAAAAAGAATTCAACGCAACTGGCAGGTGTTGGCAACACAAAGGAATGGAATGTAACAAAGCCTTTTGCCCTTCATGTAGCAAACTACACAGCCTGCCAGCCTTTCCTCTGATTCAGCTGTACAAAAGGCACAGTTTCTTGCTACTGCACTGCTGACCTGATTCCCTCTGTAACCACTGCAATGCTAGCAGAATGAAACACAGAAATATATACCTTGAGGGAAATGGAGCATAGAGGCACATCAACCTATTTTATTATAGAAGATCAGCCCTTTCGACACTGACACTGTAGTTGGTTGGGTTTTTTTAAACATTTATGCAGACTTTCTGTTAGTAATTTTAATGCATTTATAGCTCTTGTAAAAGAAGTGATGCTATTTCGACCTAATTTGCAAAGGATAATTTACTAAAGCTATTGATTAGTCCTTCTAAATTTTCACTGGTAGACAGAATTCATCAAAATACTGTAAGAACACCACTTAAAAGAAAAAGAAAAAGAAAAGCCACTAGACTCACAAACTATCAACTATGAGAGAACAAAGCACTGTAAGACAAAGGCTGAAAGGCTAAAAAGGGGACACAAAACAATGCCAATGTAAACAAGTCTGACAGGCACCAAACAAAAAAGCTCAGCTAGGATATGTGGAATAGACAGGAAAACAGGAGAAGGCTTTAGGCTGACTGCTCCAATTAGAACACTTTTACTCATGCACTTGTTTTCCTGGGAAGCTGCCTGAGAGAGGTCTGTATAATAAACCACCTTCAAACATTAAATTCTGGAGCTCTGTCCTCAGCCTGAAGTTAAGGATGCTACTTGTACTGGTTTCTTCCAAGACAGATTTTGACATACCATGAAATCAAGTTAAAAGGACTGAGTGATGTTTGGCTGTCACTGAACTGGACTGAATGTACATGAATATGGAGTTAAGGCTGAGGTTACCTATGGAATGATACTGAGCATATTTACAAACCAAAGCAGGTGTAACACTGGTTTTCAGTGGTTGAAATAAACTGTCACCTTACACACTCACGTACAGAACTGAGAGACATGTTTGTGTCCAATACTGAAACTTAAAGAAAAGGAAGAAGAGAACATTTTTAATACGTGCTTTCAAAAAACTTGTAAGAGATTTAACAAGTGTCTTGTAAGGGACTTAAAAAATGTGGTTAATCTAAACAATGTATTAATGTCTTGGTTAATCTAAACAATGTATTAATGTATTTGTGCAGTCCCAGAGGGCCCTTAACATTTTGGCAAATCCATACACTGTATTAACACATTTGTGCACTCCCTAGCAAACCTTGAAGATTGGATAAGTTTGCACTCTACTCCCAGAGTTTTCTCTTTGGGGATATTTCTGTACCAATGGTGTAAGCGTGCTAGTCAAAAATGAGAGACAGGAGCAATTATAACGAGAAAAATTTCAGACTCTATTTATAAAGGCTGAAAGAACTATTTTTTTTTCCTGCAACAGAGCAAATTGTGTTTTTTTTCACTTTCCAGCCTCAACATTTATCAAAAACTACCTAGACAGGACAGAAACTAATCAAATCAGTTTGAAAAAGGGAGATTTAAGTTCTGCTTTTAAAGTTATACCAGGAATAACTGGTAAACGTAGTAAAGCTCTTTGACTGCCTACAGCAGCTTGTGGAATCCTAATCAGTGGGATGATCTGGATGTTGGTCCTAAACATCTGTAATTACAGATGGTTTGAGTGAATTTTTACCCTACATTTCTATGTCTCCTATCACAAAATGCTAAAGCCCAAATTTTTGCAAGCATAGATCCAATCCTATTCCATGGATTTAAAAGAAACTTCAGCATAAACCATCAGTGTATTTTAGGGAAAATATCTAACATTAGTACCCTATAAGGTTTCTTGAGTGCCTTTTTTTTGGTGTGTCATGCTGACACAGTGCCACACAGTACAGAAAGCTGTTTTCTCTACCTGACTGCAACTGGCACAAAAATAATTACTTACTTTTCTTCTGGCATCTGCTTTCTGGAAGCACTCATGCTGTATGAAAGTCACTGCAGCAAGAATCCTAGGCGTGGACTGTGTGTTTTCACTTTTCAGTATGTTCACCGCACGCTCCAGTGTCATCTCCACTTCTGGGCTCCTTAAAAGTGTAGACAGAGGAAACAGGGTGAAGCAAGACTGCAGAAAAACTATCTTTGTTGTAATACCAGGATTTTTGTATTTTTCAAGGCACTTTAGATTGTCTTAGAACTTTTTTTGCTTTCCAGTAGCAGAAAGTAGTATAAAAGCTTTAACAGACACTGATATTCTGGGGAAGAGAAAATCATAAATAAAAGCGTGGTGACAATGAGAAGTTCTGGAGAAAGCAAGTCATGCTTCAAATTATAAAAACAAAATGGAAACATTAGTGGATGTTTTTATCAGTGTTTCCATCAGTTTCCATCCTTTCATCACTGGATGAAGGGCAGGATGTGGAAGGAAAGATGAAGGAAGTGGATGACAGATCCAAAGATGGCAATAACCAAAGTAGAGTGACTAGTACTGATCATAAAGACACCCTGATGTTTTCCTCAGTAATGTGATGATTGCTTTTTTACATTTGTTTTCATGCCTTCCATCCATTTCTTAGTTTCCAGACTACATATATGCAGGACTGCATTGAAACAGATGGGTAAAGCCTTTTTTTCAGAATAAAAATAGCACTCATTAAACTGAGTATGTACATCCACTGTGGTGGGATTAAAAATAAGTGTAGCTATTTTCCTTTCAAATTCCAGCATGTTTGCTTAAATGATGATCATTTTAGACAACCATATGAAAAAATGGAAAAAGAGGTCACCAGACACATTTTTTTCCTCACTAAATGGAACATAATTCATGGCACATTCAGGAGCATTAGCCATGGGACAGGTGGTTATGCTCCCTAGACTTTTATTTACTTTTTGTTTCAAGTATGTTCCACCTAGAAATAAAAAAGGGGGGAGGGGGGAGGAGGAGGACAAGTGGACAAGAACATGAGTATTATATTTTTTTTTAACCAAAGAGTTTTGTAGTACCAGATCCTCTGCTGGCCAAATGGGGATGAGAGAGCAGTCTGTGAACCCCAGTGAAACAAGAAGTCATTGGCAATAACTTCCTACTTCAGAGCTACCAGAACGAGAATGATTTACTTAATAATCATCCCAGTAAATGAAGTCAAAGTTAGAAATATTAACACAATTACCACTTACGTTAAAATAGGTCTCTGGGAAATAAATTGGCTTAAATTGAAATTTTAATTTTTTTTCAATTAACTAAGCAGAAATATTAAATAATAAACAATATTCAGGAAAGTGAAATAGTACACTTTTTGGTACTGAGAAACGTTTCTAAAAATTGTATTTGTGGAGGTGTCACCCAGTTCTTCAGCTCTGAGACTGGCTCCAAAGTGGACCTCCAGGAGTGAAAGAGCCTGGAGGGCTGCAGGGGAGCAAGGCAGACAAACCAGGCAGAAATCAGGCAGATTTCCCATAGGGAATCTTGCTATAAATGCACTGAAATCCAGCTCTTTTCTCCCAAAATATTTATGATGCACTTATGAGCTCTGAGACAAAAACAGATTTTGCTGGAATTTTTCTTGCAGCTACACTGCAAATCAACATCTGCTGCTTGGTTTTGCCAAGGCAAAAACCAATTAGCATGGCCGTAAGGACAGCAAAGAAATGCAGAATTTTGATTCACTGCACCTGTTGCAAATGAAATGATATACCCATATCCTGAGGTTTCCACCTGCCTTTATATTTCTTTTTGGTATAAATCATTATTGTTTGGTATAAATATGTTATTTCTTCTCCTCTCCTCTGAGTTATTGTTTTGAGCAAATACACTGTATCTATAGGTGCTGAGGATGCTTATGCAAGAGAAAGATGAAATTAGAACTTTGGTTAGTATTTCTAGTGCCTGGCACTGCTTACAGCTTCCATATTTTCAGAGTTTAAAATTCTGGCCAAATTTAAAACAAAGTAGTCACTAAATTACTCTAAGGTGTAAGTCAGATGAACCGATCAGAAAACTACTTAAAGATCTCAAACAATGAGTGATGAAAAAAAGCCAGATCATATTTCTCCTTCTTACTCTCTATAGTGGGACAGAAAAGCAGGCTTTTCAACCTCGGGTTTTAGTCACATTTCTTAAATCAACAATTTTGTCACCCTGTCCACATGTGAGCATGTCAACCTGACTGCTAGTCATTGCAATCATTTTGGAGCCCTTCGCCCAAAATCAGTCACCTTCTGTGAGCAGCAGACATCAACAATGTATTAAATTCTGAGTCACTTCACCGACTAACAGCTGAGAAGGACTAGAACCATGTACCTTTCAAGGTCAAAATTGCTGCATGAGCTGATCCCTCATGGGATACCAAAGAATCCATGTGGAAACTCAACCTCAGGACGCCAAGGGTGTCCCAGAGTGGTTATGGTCCATCAGCAGAGCCTGCCAGGCTGAGATGAACACAGGGGCAGTCAGACTGCATTTCTAAGTGCTAAGGGTGTAGATCTGCATTGAGACTGACAGCAGCTCACTGTTCACCAGAGTTATCCCTTCATGCAGCAGGCAAAAATATTTCTCTCCTGTTGCACACTGCCATACTAGGCTTGCTCTTCACTGGGTAAAAATAACATTCCCTGATGTTTTATCTGGCAGCAATAAAGGATGCAATACAATCTTTGACCCTCAATGGTATTCATAAAGTTGCAGCACCCTAATTCTTGTCAAAATAGAATTTGATGCGATGATTCTATCTCGCCCTCCAAACATTTACAGGCAAACTTAATAGCAGTTGGTTGAGTGGCATGTGTCATGACACTGAACAGTCAGTCAGGAAATGGTTGTTAAACAGAACAATGATTTGACAAGTTCTGACTTCACCTTAAGTGCCAGAGTATAATATTTTTGAGATAGATACATACATAATAATTTTGTGACAGCTCTCTGCACATTTAGAGGTCAGATTCTGTAAGCAGCTGTTTCTCAGACAGCTTCAGGTTGAATCTCTTTCCTAAGCTCTTCATCATAACAGTGCTTTTAACTGATTCACTTTACCAGAAGACACAGAGATAACATCTCTATACTATGATTTTTCTACTTTGCTTTCATAGCATGAGCTAATTCTTTTACAGAATGTTTGAAAATGCTTTTATATAAATTTCAAATGCTGTATACAGCTAGTCCCCTACTTCTCTTTAACCTTGCACAACTATTTTACACTCTCTTAATTCACCTTGGAAAGACCAAAATTGTGATTTGCATAAAAAAGTATAAATTTCAGGAAAAAATAATTTACTCCAAAACCAAGCTTATCTTTTTTGACCCTTTATCTTACTAAGGGAGCAAGAGGTAAGGTAGGAATATGTCAGACAATGTAGATTTAAAATCAGAGAGAATGGGAAATGACAAGAAATACGAAAGTGTCTACAAACTTCTTTAACTGAGAAACCTTGTCAGAAGAAACTACTGTACTACTGGTGGGATGATGAACTTAAGTGAAATACCTCTGACTTGACAGAGGTGTACACTCCACAGCAAAATGTTGTCTAGTGTGGTTTAAACAGTTAATTCTACAGTAACCTGTGTGGTAGCTATTGAGGTTGAACCAGAATGCACTACAAATAGGACTTCTGCATCCACTCCTTCCAGTGGTGAGACTCACAAGAGGACTTATTAAATGTGCAATATAGGTGTTGACTACAGTAATAATGTATGTGGATATCACACACATGATTATATAAATGTGTAACAAACACTGACTTCAGTCAGCTATAACAGCTACAGTTTCCTCCTTATAATTTAAGAACGGTGTAAAGATGGTGAGAGTGGTGCAAATTTCTTGCAGAATTTTAACTTACATGCTGCTTTCCACCAGCCTCTTTACTAATGTAAGTTATTACATTTTACAGAGACTTTTTAATACTTTGGGTAAAGAGCCCCTCACTCCCCCAAAAACTTAGCTATGAAACTAAAGTAGATTCTAGGATATTTGAAAGTCTAAGCAAGATATGTAGAAGTAAATGAAATGGAAGTACTGAGATAAACAAGATCTGTAAACAGCTGCAAAGGGAACTCTAGAAGCTTTCACAGCACTTCCAGTTGTTTTCCTCTCTAATTTCCAGCAAAAGCTGAACCTAAAAACTGGCACTTTAGGAATTACGCTGTCAAAAGATTTCCAATAGGCCACAAATCTCCCAGCTGAGTTCAACATGGTCTCAATCAAGCCACTTGCACAATGACTGAAGAAAGATTTTTACATCTGCAGGTATGAAAAATACTTTGGTTGATGTTTGTACAGGCAGACAACCAGACTCCAGTGTCTGCACCTGCAAAAGAAAAACCAAAATTGCTCCTACATGTAATTAAAGACAAAAATTGCTGGTTGTTGTTGCTCAGAAATGTATTCAAGAACGTGCCAGAAGTTAAGTAAATTATTATCAATGGGATACATGCCTGTTAGTAAATTGTCTTACTGAGAAATGAAGTCCTCCCAGGTACCTATTTTCAACATTACTACTCTCAAATCTTTAGCTGTTGTGAGCTCTGAGCTGTTTTATTTTCTGGACTTGTTGTAAAGACTGAATATCTAGGAGTCTCATCATTAATATCAGATCTCTTAATTCCTGCATTTCCCAGCAGTGAGAATTTCAATCCAGGCCAGAAGTGGGCATGATATTATATATGCTTGTAAATCTTATTATAACACACAACACGTAGTTGACAACAGAAAATACCTCATCAGTGATACCAGATGATGCCTCAAAACACACAGTAACAAATCCAGAAGAAGAAAGGTATTCTTCAGAAAAATGAGCCTAACCACTACACAGTTATGGGAAAAGAGCCATTTCTTAATAACACTGTTGTAAATTACACTATGATTAACTTAAATAAGAAATTTTAGGATCTTATTTGGATTATGAAACAACAATAGAAAGCAGAGTAGACAATGCAGGTAACCATCTCCTGTATAGCAAGTGGCTTGTTCTGTCTGTTGAACCTAAACAGCTCTGGAAACATTCAGAATTATTCTAAAATTAAAAAATATTCACCTCTGAGTGAATTTCAGAACTGATACACTTTCTTTTCTGAAAATGAAACTGATTTTAGACATTCTGAAATCTTCTCTGGAAGAGAATTTCAGTGGAGGCAGGGGAAGTAATGTTGGGGGAAAAAAAAATTCCAGTACTTCAAGCAATTTTCCTGAAGTCTGGGGGCAGATTTTTGACTTTCTGGTATGGATCTAACAGGGCTTTAAGTCAGGATAGTGCCCTCAGAGCATGTAGGATCTCATGGCAGTGAGAAGCTCTGGGGATGGATGGTGCTACAGAGCTAAGAGAAATTTCTGCTTGTGTTTTAATTGAAGTTAATATTAAAAAGTATCTTTGAAACCATGAAGGATTTTCAACCAGAAATTGTAAATCTGCCAAAAGCTGCTTCACTGGTAGATTTCTGACCTATTCTTGTGAGAACCAGTGCTGATATCATCTGATCTTTTATGAGCACAAAATCTGCCAATACTACATTGTGTACTGTGACTCAGATTGTAAATTACTCAGTGACTACTTACAGTGTTATAAAATTGGTCAACTTTTGCAAAAGGGGGTCCCAACCCTAAGTGGGAGTTGTGGATTCTGCAGTATGTACATACTGCTATATCTTTTTCTCCTTTTCCTCTGTTGCACTGGAAGAGGATTTTTAAAAGCAAATCTTCCTGCATCCCCTGCACTGGTATTTTGTACGCTGTGTTGGTTGCTGAACCGTAAGCTGTCAGTTTACTTTCTCTTTTTAAACAAACGTGGCCCTTTCAGCTGTGACACCCCAGAACCAAAGCAGGTCCTGCATCATGCTTACCCTAGCTGAGATCCATTGATGGTGACCTGCTCACTCTGCAGGAAGCCATTTCTCCCCGCTGCGGCCACAGCAGCTGTCAATGGCATCCTCTTCCCATCTGTTTCTGCAGTGACACTGGCTATTGAAGCTGGATGGGAAACTTCCCTCCTGGTCTGTGCGTTTCTGAAAGTGGTTTGGTAGAAGCTGGACCTCACAGACTGCCTGTTCTGAGACGCCAGCTGGGAAGCAGTTGGTGATCTCACTTGTCCCATCGCGCTGCCCGAGGTCAGGTAGTTTTCCTTCTCCAAAAGGTTGGTCATACTGCGACTGTTGCCTGCCTGGTGGTACAGAGGTACAGTGGGGCTGGGGTAGACACCATCCAGGGCAGCATCATTAACAGCCCCCATGCGGGAGTGTCTCTTAAAAGAGCGTCCCCTGTTCACCGAGTCACGAAGAGTGTAACCAACAATCTCAGACCGAGCGTATCTCGGGGGGACAGTTCCACTCGATCTCCCGATATCTCCATGCCTCATAGAGAATCCGGTTGGAATCCCTCCATCATAGTGAAAATCACTGGACACATATGCCAGTCTTTCCGGAATTCGTTGGGGTGAAACCTCCAGTCTCTTCAGAGGTTGCCTTTGAGCTCTCTCTTCCATTGTCCTGTAAGCAACCCTTGTCCCCCAGCCATTTGTGTAAGAGGATGGTGAGGCAACCTGCTCAAGGGTGCACAAAACAACAGGAGTCACAGTAAGATCACAGCACTTAGGATTAATAGCAAAGAAGCCAAACAAATAAGTAAAGATAAAAATTTTACACTCTGCTTTCAGAGTAAGAAAACAAAATGCAAACGTCAACGTACACTCTGTGTATTACATGGGATTCTGCAACACTTCTTTTACTTGCCTCAAGAAGGCAGGAAGAAGTACAGTCTACGGCATCTAATCTTTAGTCAAGAACTCAGAATAGTTCCACAAGTCAATTATTCCTGGCAGTGAACAGTTTGAGTATTAAGGGACATTTTTCAGCTTGAAACTCCTTGGGGATTAACACCAACATCTGCTACTAAAACTAAATTCAAGGTTGTCCAACATACAGAAGAAAATTAATCAGTCAGATATTGAAAATATTATACTAAAGTGTCTGCATATTAATATTAACCTTATTAATATAAGGTTATTTAGCACTCCTGTTCACTCTGTGGTAGAATCTAGTAAAAAGAGATAGCCCTTTCCATGTTTGTTTAACCTCTTAAAAATGGAGGAGACTGTATAACATTCCAAGAAAATCAAAATGACCATTTCACCATTTCAATGATATCCCCAAGTCTACAGTTGCAATTTTAGATGATTTTTCTTTTCTTGTCCCTAATGGGCATAGACTGCAATGGAACATCATCTTGCTTTATAATATTCTCTTTTCTAAAGTCAACAAATCCATGTCCTCTAACCTTTCTTTGTAAGGTGTATCTTCAAGACTTTTACTGTTTAGGTGTCGTTTGAGACCTCTCCAAACTTTCCTCCTTTTTCTTGTGCTCTATACTGGACACCATACTCAATTCAAAACCTTCCAGAAGTAAATCAACTTGGAACACTATCTGGCCTTGAAATACAGGAACCATGTTTTTTTAAAAAATCAGTAAGCATAGGGGCATACAGCCATAAATCAAAGCCCCACATATTCCATTTCCATTTTGCAATATTAAAGGTATTTTTTTAAGGTAAACTGAGGAGTTTATACAAACTATTAACTGAAGGAACAGTGCTCAGTAGATAGCTGCCAGGCTGAAATCCCCTAATTTCACTGTTGAGGACATCCTGAGGATGACAACTGACTCATAAAAGGAGTAAAGGTTACAGAAACTGGTGGGTTGAGGCAAGGATCATTGGCTATATGTGTTTATTCTACAGAAGTTTTGCAAGGATATCTTTATCTTTTGTTTGGGGATAAGGACATTAATGCTTTTGTGAAATACTAGGCCTTGTGCCTTTTTCCAGCTTTCACACAGGACAAATAGTCTCTCTCTTCCCCTCAAACCCCTGTTTTCCCCCCCGCCAAGAACACTACATTATTTTCTTGTGATTCCTATGTCACCTCCAGTTTTCCCCTTGTTAGAAGGAATGAATTCACATAAAATATTATGGATTAGACAATTGGTGAGAATAGCAGAGAGGAGGACAGAGAAAGATATATGTTTAATTAAACAGTTCTAACTCTCCCCATACAGAGCCAGGGCTGCTTCACTGATTGCTCAGAAGCTGGACTATTTCTTTTGATGACAATAAGCTATTCTTAGTAAGCTAAAATTAAGAAAGAACTGCCCTCTCCAAATACAGTTATTTATTAAATAAATATTTCTGTTCTCAAGCTGAATTGTTTTCAGTTGACTAATGCCGATCACGCAGCAGCGTTGCTATTGAGCTGTGTTGATTTCCCAGTCACATGGATGCTCCCTCAAACAGTTTCATACCAGTTATGAGCTGTGTCAGAAACCCTGCAGAAAACCAATTATTTGTTCATTCAGGCCATGAACCCAAGAAAAGCTGGTCAAAACAACAAGAGAACTTATGATCAGATGGTTTAAAAACACCATTGTATTGGAAGGACTGTACTGCTGAAATTCTTGTAATGCTAAAAGGGGTGACAACAGCAGTATTTTAAATTATAAGGAACACTCTACCTGTCTTTGTGAAACTAATCTGTTTTCCTTCGGGTCTGGATGCTTAATTATGTTCAACTGGGAAGCAGGGCCTCTAGCTGCTCTGAGTTACGGATGTGCTGACTGACCTCCTGCCTGGTGGGAGGGATAAACTTGTCACAGCCTTTGCCTTAGTGGAGCGTTAATATGATTTTTCATTTTTTACCCTGATGCCAATTCTCACAAAACCAACAGGGTTGCAAATAGCCTGCCTGCACAACTGAGTTTAATCCAGCCACTAGGCTCTGAAGTCACTGGAAGTGGGGTAAAACATTAAGAGATTTCAGTTGTAAAAACCTCATTTTCTAGAAATGAGGCTTTAAAAAGAAAACAAATAGGCAAGCAAACCTTATAACACCATCTAAATGCTATTATTTGTGGTAACAAAATTAATAACTATGCATGTGATGTTATATTTATTTCCATTCATCATCTTCCTCACCTGGTTTGACTGGTAATATGAGAAACTGTAGGGACTTCTTGGTGAAAAATCATTTTCAGTAATCCCCATGTTATAGACACGCTCTGGTACACTGGATGCACGGTGCAAGCTGCCTGTAACCAAAGATTAATATTAGTAAGATTTTTAACAAAACATGGTATTGTTACAGAGGAGGAGATACAGTACTAGGGAAACATAGCAGGGTGCACTACCATTAATATATATAAACTGGATGTTGAACAGAGAAATAATGGAAAGATGTTTGCATTTGGTGTATCACATTCAAAACACGGCCAAGCAAAGCTTCCTGAGGATACAAGCCTTTTTTCAGTTCCCTATATATTTTATATAATCTCCTCAGTGCTTCATCCAAAGAGCACAAAGAGTCCCCAAACAAATTCTATGGCCCATGGAGGCATGTGGCATATGATGCCAGAAAGTTGGGTTCTTCAGTGATGCCTCAAATCTGCTCCTGAAAGGTTCACTAAGCCTACAAACAATGTAGAAGATCCACAGTGTATCTGCTTTGATCCTCTTCTTCCATGGGCCAGCTTTGAAAATAGAACAGCACATTGTGATTATTTCTTTCATTAAAACTGCAAACAAACCAACCAAAAACTTCAGATTGTATCTTTTTTCACTAATACAACACATTTTCAAAGAACAAGTGCTCCTATTACTGAAAACTCTTAAACCAACAGATACTGCTGATACAATAATCCATGAGATTTCTGTGCTACTATGAGAATCTGCATGTAGGAATTGACCCCAGGTTTAAAGAGGTGAAACCGAAGTCGAAAGTAAGATATACCTCAAATCAGTCATAAATGGGATCAGTGGGTGCTGCAGAAGTTTAGGCTGAAGACATAGTAGTGGTCATTAAAGAAGTTAATTTGCCATCAATTTTCAAAACAGTAGATATTACCTGAGATACTACAGAAAAGAAATCTAAGGAATGAATCGTTAACTTGGCCAAACAGCTGAAGTCTCTGCTCCTAAAAACAGCAGGAGACCTATGCCCATGGGAATTCAGGTGCCAAAGACATACCAGCAAGCAGTTGTTGGGGTGTTTGAAAGCACCTGGAGTATGTGTGTCAGAGCTGATTCCTCCAGTGTATGCAGTTAAGGTTCCGGGCTTCTTTAGGTGCACAACCCTAGAAAGCTCAGCACATCTGTATATTTTATCCTTAGTGTCTGCAGTTAGTCAAGGACTCAAAAAGGATGAAAATAAACTCGGGTAACCAGAATAATTTATGAATAATTCTCCCTAGCATGTAGCTACCTGGGCAAGTCCAAATTTGTGTATTCTATAATATAGTATAATACAATACAATATAATGGCAGACTGCAATAATTTGAGGCCTAATTCAACCATACTTTGCAGTTACTTTGCCTATTTAATCATACTTTCCAATTTTTTCATTTTGGCCACACGAGGCAGATTTAAACACGTATTAGGTGATTTGTCAAGACACATTCACAGTAACTTTGCGTCATGAGAGTGGAATGATGAAGCTTGGTCAAACTCATGATTTGGATTGTAATAATTCCTTCGTGACATTACAAGGTTACCATAGCCCAAGGGTTACCCAAGTACACGAGAAACCAGTAAGAGGGAACTGTTCTCTTTTACTGTGAAAAATTCTGGCTGAACAACATCCAACATTTATTTATTTCTATAAATCTCTCATTTGTGTCATATGAGACATGATGTACTATTTCAGGTGCCCAGTAAGGTGTCTAGCTTAGCCTATCCCCTGTGCCTGCTTTTTTAAAGATTCACTTTCTTCTTCATTGCTGCATAATAAAGTATTTCCACACAACAAATACAGTTTAAAATAAACTTCTATTTCTTTACAGTTAGTATTTTTTGTCCTGTTTACTACACTTAGTGAGAAAGTATTCTCAGTTATTTATCTAGTTAGGGCATAATGACCCTTTGAACACGTAATTTTTGTATATTTTAGGTAACTCAAAACTTGTCTTTACAAAAAAATACAAAAAAGAGAAGATAAAAATAACAAGGCCATTCATGAACTAGTTGAGGATAAACTACATTATCTAACAGTTTCCTCTTTGCAAAAGTGAAATGCAGTCAAACAGAAATTGTAACATGCAGTTATCTTCAACTAGTCCTCTTTTCTAACCTTCAGTCTCTCTGTGAAACTATCCATCAGTTAAAATTTTTCTCCTTCAGAGACAAACCCAGTATATGTCAACTTATGGAATTTCACTTTGCATTTGCAGTTATCTCTTGCTTGCTCTTACAACACTGGGAAATTATTTTGCCAGACTTTTACCTGCAGATTTATTAGGCAGACATAAAATGCATATCTTTTTACTGTGTTCTCTTTACCTGTGCCACAAGTCAGTGTGTTAAAGGAAAAAGTGGTAATAGAAATGCTGTATCTTTCCTTGAGGTGCAGAATAATGACCTGATCAAAACTTGCCTCTGTCAGCAGGGCTTCCTTCAGATTATTTTCACCACACTACAAAACCTGCTTGCCTTTCCCACCTTGCAGAGTTGCTCAGTATTACATATATTCAGAAATCATTATGCTGTCCTTACATACTCAGTGCACTGGGTATCCTTGTTTTGTTCATTTTGTTTGTTTGGGTTTTTTCCCCTAAAAAAGCCATGACAGATTTTTAAAAAAAACATTTATATTATAGTCTCATATACTGTTAGGATTAATACTTTCTAGCTGTGATACTCTGTGTTTTAAAGTCTTACAAAAACTCTCTCCAGAAAATATGCACACCATACTCATCCATAGGGGACAAACACTATTTGAGAGGCCATAGGATATCACACTTGATTTCCAGCAGCCAGTCAAGAAAAAAATGGGTTTCCTACAGGCCCTGCATCATGTCTGTCAACCCATAAGGACAGTTTAGAAAACTCAGGCATCTCAGACAACACCAGACACCCATGTGTGGGCAACTGAGTGGAACCATTTATCACAGTCTCCCCTCTCTCCTGTCAATATGAACTGAAACAGTCCAGGAACACTTTGGATGGGGTCAGTGGAGCAGGAAACCTAAACCCCTTTGCTCTTCTCCACTGCCAAAATAAAAGCTGTACCCTGATATCCCAACAGTTACGACAAAATTTTAAGACTGGAAAAAATAATGACACTATCAGGAGGGAGACTGTACAGACGACAGCAAAAATCCCACCTGTCTTCACAGAGGCTCTTCTCGAGGCTCCTTTGTCCCCGTGGATGTGACAAGCCCAACAGCTCCAAAAGCCTTGGAAACTTCTCCTCAGTGATCACTGCCTATGGCTGCTGACAGATCAACCTGCTGTTTGCTCTGCTTTCAAAAACAACTACGACAAGAGGCATCTCTAAGATATATGGACAAGACAATCATCCTCCATTAAGAAGCTGGGCGTATCAAATTCCCCTTAAATCACATACAGTGGTAACTCTCAGCTGTGGGTCTTTTTCAGTGCTTTTGTGCTTGAATTGTTATCATCAAAGTCAAATTTTGGCCTCAAACCTCCCAGAGCAGTCATCAGTGTAGCTGTACCCTGTACACACAAGTCTATTAAGGACTGTGATACTTTCATGCACCCTGAGGGCCCACCTTGTTGAGTGTTCATTGTCCACTCTTGCTCAGGGCAGGTGGGTGATCATATCCCCAACAGAGACTCCTCAGTGCTCCTGGACTGTCATCCTTTAATCCCTTTTTTATACTTCAGCCCTCACAATGGACTAAGATGGTGACATTTAAGAACAGCACACGAAAAAAGTCACTGAATCACTCCATCTAGAGATCAAAGAGCCCTCTTTTTGATCGTGCTCCTTCATCACTGTGCCAGCACATGACTGGTCCCAGAGGAGTTTTTCTAACATTTTGTGCTCAAATTTAAAAAAGATTTCTTCTGGCTCAGGAAGCAGAGGCGAGGAATTTAATAAAACCAACAACAATTGAAAGTCATCAACAAGGAATTTTTTTTCTACTTCCTTATGCCTCAAATATATAAACAGAAATTTACTACAAAGCTGTTATCACTGTCAGAATTCTGCAAAATAGAAGCCTAAGGACAAAAAAGTGCACCGGTCCCCTAAAAGGAGATTCAAGAAGAAAATACTACTCAGAATTTTAAAAACTGGGAAATGTGAGGAATAAATAAGGGTCTGATTTTAACAGTTTTGTTAAAAGATGTTTTTTATTGGGAAATCTCCTAAGTTTGAATTCTGGTTTGATTTTTTTTTTTTTAATAAACACACAGTGTTTATAAAACTGTGTTAGGGAAAGAATCACAACACAGCCAGCAGTTCATCAGGACATTTGATTTTGTACGATACATATCAGAGGCAAGTGGACTCATAAATAGAATAAAGCTTAATAGATTCCTAAAATGTACATAAAATAATCAATTGCTGCATCATAGGCAAGCTGAAAATCACCAGTCATTAAAGTATATGATTCTGAATGCCATTTTTCTTTGATAAGGCAGAACTACCTTAAATATTTCCATCTTTAAATAGCATTCAGAAATTTGATATGACTGCTTTAGTTACTCAAAACTTCTAAGGGCAGCATAATCTTTAATTTATAAAGGCTTTGCAATGGATGAATTAGAAAAGTTGCAGCTGTTGTTAAACTGCTTGAAAAGCTGTTTGACAACATTTTGAAAAGAGCTGAGGTCATACATAACTTCAATCCTTTTGCAGCAGGTAGAATTCTCAGATTCAAGGATGACTGAATTTCTACTATAAAAAAGAAATACACCCTCCAAAATGGGGAAAAGGGCATGAAATAGCAAACAATATGAGGGTAGGAGGTAAAAAGATGTTTTTCCATTTACAGGTGAAGCTGAAGGCTAATCAGACACCTGTAATTCGAAATTCTAAGGAGAAATTACGCTGCCTGACAAACTACTTCTTGTGGCTTCAAACTTTTCAGTACACTCAGCAGAAAATGGGTGTGCACAGATGATACTGGGCAAGACCTTTACTACCACTGATTTTTCATACCCGGTGGTTATGTGCTTGGCTAATTTTAGGCATGTATGTGAATACTGTGGTTAGGTATGCACTGAGTACCTTGCTGAACTGAGTCTGAAATACTCCTGCAGATAGGACAGTTATATCACAAGGCCCTGCTCCTGCTCCCTCTGACACTTTGCAAGTCTTCCCTGAAAGTGCAAGCAATACGGGGCCCGTGGTGAATATAGCCAGAGAAAGGTTATAATTCAGAGAAAGTGATGCTTTTGCATGTAAAAGAGGGCATATTTTTTAAAAAAAATTTTAAAGGTACCCTACATGTAAGAATTGAAATGTTTCTCAAAGCATAGCCGATTTTTGAGCAAGTCCATACAGAAAGCACATTGGGACACATACGCACATATACGTATATTTTTCAGGGAAGTAAACATGTTAACTTCAAGAGAGGCATTTGATTCACATATATATTTAAAATATACATAGATTTCCACATATTAGATATATATGTATATCTTAATGGAATGCATTCCAGTTTCATTTACTTTTTCTGAATTTTGCAGTAGGACTAAAATGTGTACAGTGAGTTGGGCACAAGAATACATTTGAAAGATGAAAAGTTCATTTTATGCATGAACAAAACACGTTACAGACATGGCATTTGCCACTCCTGATCCTGAAGTTTAAAAGTTTTTGTGTCTCAGAAATGCAAGGGATTCAAATACTTGACCTTTAGAAAAACAAAGCAGGATAACTATCCCCAAATACATCAGGTCTGTTAATGTATTCCAGAGAAGTCAAGATGACTTAGGAGGATGGGAACTCTGTCTTCATAGTTTCATGCATGGTTTAGAGACATGAGCTCAGGTTCATGACATTGTATCATTTATAAACTAGTGCTTAAAAAGCTTTTTGCAGGCTCTCTGTTCGTAGAAAAAGAAATTAAGTTACTCCAAAAGTGTTTAGAAAACATATTTAAATGGCAGTAGCCAAGTTAAGGACTTGCATGTGTATCTGCACATTGCACAGCTGTGTGTACCTGTTTGTGTGATTTGTATATCTGATTTTTATGAGCAGAATTTGTCCATGTCAGCACTGTGTGCATTTTTTGCCATGAGGTGTTTTTTAGATAGAGGCCAGACAAAGAACAAGAAAACATTCCTCTGCCTGACAGGAACAGATGAGAGAAGTATAAAGACTTTCGTCTCACAACTTTTAGCAAATGAAAGGTGACAGCTTCTTTGAGGACAACTGAGAAAGAGGGTAAGTCAGTCATATCTTCCTATTTTAAAAACATGATTAAAATTTCATCATATATAAAGTTTTCATTCATTAGTTAACACTAAGCCCCTCGGGCAGCCTGCCTTTAACCCTCAGCACCTGAGAGTCACCCTGTGGCTGCCTGATGCTGTGATCGAGCCCTGGCTGGGGCACAAGGTGTGACTGCAGACTTTATTGATTGGGTCTGGCCTTCTGCCTGCAAGACCTTAGAAGCACAGAGTGATTGACGTCAATTTGTATCATGCATGTTAAAGAACTGGGTAAATAATGCCTGACAGCATTATCGTTCTGTATTTCCCATTCACGCCTTTCTCAGAGCTACTTTTCCAAACTTCCTTTTACCTTTGTTTGTTTGTTTTAATTTCACGGTTAAACAAGGCAAAACATTTCCTATATTTCTTTCCGTTTTATTTAGCAAACAGGACCGGTGGGTAAGGATAAAAGCATTAAAATAAGCACATTAAGCGGTCGCTGGATTAGGAGAATATCGCCTCAATCCCTCCCTCCCCCTCCTGGGCAGCGGAGAGCCGGGAGCGGCCCCACCATGCACCGAGTTACGGCGAGAGTTTGGGAGGGAGAAACTTCTCACTCACTGGGGTGTGCAAAGAGAACGGGAAGAAGCGACAGATTCGCGCTTTTTTCTGCCAAATCCGGTCACGGCGTGTGAGCGGCACCGGCTGTCCCGAGCACTCCGCACCTCCCGGGGCCGGGAAGCAGCTGCGGCCGCCCGCGGGTCCCACCCCGGCCTCCCGGGACCCCTTCCCGTGCTCCCACCGCCGCTCCCACCGGAGAGCCCCGAGGGGCCGGGGCGGGCACTCACCATTGTACAGCGAGCCCCGTCTCTTCCTGGCCAGCGTCTGCTGGACCTGCCGGTGGATCCGCAGCGCCTTCTCCTCCCCGGCGCGGTCGCCCGAGAGCTTGAGCCGGTCCTCGGAGGGCAGCGCCAGGCTGGAGCTGTCCAGCTCCCCCAGGATCTGCTGGCCCAGCACGGTGCGGATGTAGCCCTGCTCGGCGGCGGGGCCGCGGCCGGCCATGGGCACCGCCGGGCTCGGATCCCGCTCCGCTCCGATAACCTGTTGCGCTGCTGCCGCCGCTCCCGCCGCGCCCAGCGCCGCCCCGGGGCTGCCCCGCCCGCCGCACAGGTGCCAGGCACGGCCCGGGAGCCGCTCCGCCCCTTCCCTCCCTTTCCCCGTCCTCTCTCCGCTCTTCCCCTCCCTTCCTCTGCTCGCCGGGGTGAAAGAGTCCGGCGTGGCCGCCCAGCTCAGCCCAGCCCAGCCCAGCTCAGCTCAGCCCAGCCCAGCCCAGCCCAGTCCAGCGGGGCGCGGTCGCCGCCTCCAGCAACAGCCGCCTGTCCCCGTCCTCGCCCCGGGGAGTCCCGGAGCGGCCGGACCAGTGTGTGTGCGAGTTTGTGATGGCTCTGGAGCGGCGTCCTGCGATTGCCGGGGGGCCGGCTACCGTTCTTCCCCCGCTCCCCTTCCGCCGGGAACAAACACACGCACGCGTTTTAAACACACTAAATATGCGCTGTCTTCGTGTATCGCCCCTCACAGATGCTTCGCGTTATGTTATATATTTAAGGTGCTTCTATGTTTTTACACATTTACGCGTTTTGTGCGTGTGTACGTGAGTTTCGACCTGGAAACCGAAGATGCTCTAAGTGCAGTGGCCCGTGCTGTGCAGATCAAACTTTCCGGCGGGACTGTGATGCGGGAGTGGGTATAGGGATGCTGATTTGGGAGGTTTTCTTGCTCGGTGGGTTTTTTTCAGGCTGCCTGGGGGATTGCAGAGAGATGAGTTGAAGCCGCCTTCTCTCTGTTGTAAAGAGGTGATGAGGGAATTGCTCAATTAAAGTTTGGAAAACCCCCGACTGGCGCTGCCCCTGCCGTCACGGGCGCGTTCTTATCCACTGAAGTACAGCGGGGCGAGTGCGAGCCGGGAGAAGGCTGAAGTTCTTACCCTGTCTCAGGACACAGCTTGGAGTCACTGTTTAAACAAACACTCTACTCGCAATGGGCTGAAAGGAAGAGAAACAAGGGAACGTATAATGCCTTGGGCAAAGAAAAATGCAGGCTTTAGAAAAAGAAGCAGGCGATCCAGGGTTGCACAATTAAAAAAAAAAAAATCTCCACCAAACTAAATGTAGGTATTTTGATTGAAACCCTGATATTTCTTAAAAGCAAATGAAAACTAATGTGGCTTTTAACTTCATATGTTGTGATTTCAGAGACGTGCTGGGACTCAAAATGAGCTGTTGAAGCTTGTTTTTTACCAAACTTCAGACAGCAGTGAGGGTACAGGGTGGCTGGGGAGAAACTGGGGTGATCCTTGTCTTAGTATGTCACTCTAACATAAGAAACTGGGCACCTTCTCAGAAAACACAGGATGGGGTTGGGGATGAGGAACCAGATCTACTTTAGGAGTTCAGTATACTTTTGCTTCTGGTTTTTAATTGTTGTCTCTCTTCCAATTTTTTGTCTGAGAGGGGGAAGCAGCTCTGGCCCTTCTCATCACTTGGACTGACTAATGTCACCCCTTTTATTCTAATGTGGTGTTCCACAGGAGAGCTCATGATAGTGGTACATGAGAATAGTTTCACTGGTTAAGAGAAATTGAGTGACACACTCCTTCTCCCTTATAAATGGGGAAAAGTTATATATCGGAGCAGAAAGGTTGGAGATGAGCTGTGAGGGTACCAGCTGGAAAAGAGGAGCAGGAATTCGAGGAGAGGAAATTGGAGATATGTGGCAGACTAACATGCGTCCTGACCTGGGTTATAAAGCTGTGTTCGTTTCATCAGTCATTCATACAGTCTTGATGAATGCTGGCAGAACTGTGATGGGCAGGAAAAAATTATAACTGAAAAGTGCAAGGATAAAAAAGTGAAAGCATGGACAGGATAAGGCAGGAAAAACAATGGGGAAGACACATCACAGCTAGAAAGGAATGTTAACTATGTCAGAAGCTCTGTTAGACCCTTTTGCTGACATACAGATGGCCACAAAAGCATTTCCAGTAAACAATAGATACTACATTCTCAGGCAGTATGAGTGAGGAGATTAGAAAATAGTCTAAAAAATGTGAAACATTTCCTCCCCTCCTCCTTTTCCCTACCCTCTTCTCTGTTCCCGAACTCCAGCACAAACATGAATTCTGGATAGTTTTTATTAGTCAAGACCAATTTGGTTTCACACAATGGACAAGATTTAGAAAATACTCTTGTAGAGGGTATCCTCAAATGCTACTGACATCACATGGAGGTTTACAAGCTCTCGGCACATCAGCATTGCCTCTGTTGGAAGAGCTCTTGAATTGTTATTAATTTTGCAAGTATGTACATTTATTTATGCTTGTGATATCTGTGGCAAAAGAAATGGCAATTTTCTCTGGACCTTACAATCTTTAATTAGATTTTTGCATTGGGTTTCTCTTTGTGTAACTAGGAATGCTGACTGGAAAGCTGGGGGTGGGGAGAGAGAGGAGAAAGAAAGAATTTTGCTTGCACAGCAGTTCAGAAAATGCTTAGCCAACATCTGAAATAGAAATGAATAAAGTTTTTCTTCAGTTTTTCTTAACTGAAGCAAATAAATAAATACCACATAACTGATTTCCCTGTCAATAGCAATTTCATGAAGTTGATTTATGTTGGATTAATGTTGATTCAATTACAAAAAAACAAACAAAAAGCCGCAAGTCTTTTGAGAGGGAAATACTTTAGCAAAGCCATTTGCAGATATAAAGCAACATATTTGGGATTATCCCTGAAAAGATTGCAATTTGTGATGGATGTTTACTCATTAGATTTTTGAAAAAGAGAATTAATTATAATGCATATGGTGATTAAGGGATGAGGAAGCACATGCAAAAGTATTTGCTCAGTGTCTGATGGAGTCAAACAGATCAGAAAACCAGATATTTCTTTATAAGACTTATTTCTTATTCTTACCAGATGTGCTTGGCCTCAACCACACAACCTTTCTCCATCAGAAGTTTCCCACAAATAATATTTATATTAAAGTTGTGGTAGTTGTTCCTTTAGCTCGTTTTTCCCTCCTCCCCTTGCCCCATTAACCGTGTTAGGACTTAAGGAACCAGCTGAGTTTGTACCTTGGAAACAGATTATTTTCAGTTGCAGGAACTTTAGAGGAAATGAGGTGTTCAGTTTAAAAGTGCAACAGCATCTTAAATACACACGTAAATAACGTGTGTGAATCTCTAGGACCACACAGAAAATGAAGTGCCATTTACTCAGGGTTTGTTCCCCCCCCGCCCCCATCCTCCCTTTCCATTTTGAATCCTAGGGTCGAGGGTGTTATATGTAAGGGCAGATTATTCAAGAATAGCAGGATTGTTTCTACACGTGCCCTCTTCCCCACGGTTCGATTTGACCCCGCCGAGGGGAAGGGAACCGACTCCTCCCCGCCGGGAAAAGCCCTGCGAGGAGCGAGAGCCCGCAGTGCCACCGCGTGTTCCCTCGCTGGAACGGCACGGCCGGGCCCGCTCCCCTTCCCTGCCTCTGGGAAGGGAAAACTCGCAAAGCGGACTTGGAGAGTACACAGGAAAGAGTTAACTCTGTGCTTTGGAACCTGAGGTCGGTATCTATTGCAATTTTGTTTGTCATAGGAGACAGAACTGAAGCTCAATCCTTCTGTGTTCTGCATCAGGCATGGCTATCCTGTATTTTCTTCCAGTAACATAAATTTCTTTCATCCTAGCATCATTTTTGGAAACAGAGAAACAGAAGATCATCTGTTTGGTCCTGTAGGATAATTTAAAAATAAAGATTTTTTTCAGAGACACCTGGAGGAAAAGTGCTATTTTTTCCACTGGTGAAATGAGTGTGATAGCAGTTCTCTGCCTGAAAGAGATGTGGTGATAAAAGCAGTAGGATCTGTGATTGAGACTCTCTGCCTGACCTAGACAGAGTTCAAGGGAGCAGCAAATTACCTGAGGAAAGAAAAAACACAATCACAATCACACACACACAGACACACACACATACACACACAGTGACAATGATCCTCATTGAAACACGACCAAGCTTCACGCACTTTGATGAGTTGAGTGTAGAACTGCTGGCTTTGAAAATCCAGACCATAACCTGGAGCTGACTAAACCTTTTGACTGGAGCAATGCCATATCAAAACTGTCCTGTGGCCATGGGCATTGCTTTATGTCTCAAGAGACCAAGGACTGCAGATAACAGTGGCTCCTCAGGCATATGGCTTTTTTTGTTGTGTAGTAGGACAGGACTAACATGCATCCTGACTTTGTTAATAAAGCCTTCATCATTCCATCAGTCTTGCTTCTGGAGGTGTTGGTTATCCAGCCCACCTATTGCAGGGTGGCAGCTGATGTTGGCCACTGCTGTAGCCCTCAGATAAAATCTCTACTCGAGTCACAGTCTGTTGAGCAGTTTTACTTGGTGTCACTGCCACACAGGGCTTGATCTGATGGGAAGGGGATGACGCTGATAGAGATCTGTACTGGGATGCATTCAACCAAGGGATATTTTTGAATGCTACGCCCAGCACAAGCTGTGGGGTTAGGTTGTCTCTGATGCAATAGAGCAGTCTCCAGGAGAAAGCCAGAGGTGTTGACGTGGCTGCCCTTGTGTACAACGGCATCTGAGATGTTGTAAAAAGGTTTTGGCGCGGTGGATGAGACAGCAGGAACAGAGGGAACTGAGATAAAGTTTTTAACACACCTGACTATGAATCATCTCTGTGGAGATTCCCCAGCTGGATCATGGGGAATGTTTTACTTCTGAGTGGGCTCCTCTTAACACAGCGGGTAGGGGACAGTCTGGTTGCACAGCTCCACCAGGAAGTTATTTTTCAGTGAGTAAGAATGGAGGAGACAGAATTAATCTAAATCTTTCATGTCCCTACAGGTCCTTTGTGTGTGGCAGGAGCAGCTGCACACTGTGAACTGGGGGTAAGGTGGTCAGCAAGTTCTGGGGGAAGGTAGTAAAGCCCTTTCTGTCCTAGCCAGTCAGTATCTCATGGATAGCATTGCCTTGACTGCTGTCTTCTTACCCAGTTTATCACAGCAGGCTCAAGGCTTGCTAACAAAGCAG